ACGCTGACCAGCATGAACAATCTGGCGTCGACCTTTGGGAATCAAGGGCGATGGAGGGAGGCGGAAGAGCTGTTTATGCAAGTGATGGAGATCAGTGTGAGGGTGCTGGGGAAGGAGCATCCCGACACGCTGACCTGCATGAATAATCTGGCGCATACCCTGAAGCATACGCGGTCGCTTGGTGAAGCGATGGAGTTGCTCAACAGTTGCCTCAAATTGTGCATCAAGATCCTGGGTGCTACTCATCCTAATACTCGCGCAGTGGTTGGTACTTTCGTTTTATGGCAACAAGAGGTTGAAGCCAGTGATATTGAAAGTGCTGCGGCGGCGATGGCAGCATGTGCGGATTGATCGATACCGTACTCTGGAGTATGGAGATCCGATTCCAAGGCCACACATTTTTTGGAGCCTTGGTTATGCACGCGGTACTAAGCCGCAAAATTATTCAAGGGCAAAGTGTTGTAACTTGCAGCAAGCAGATGGAGTGTTCCTTCAATCAATTGTATTTTTCTCCGATGAGGTCGTTCGTTCACGATGCCTCGTGCGTAACTTAACCGTCCTTAAAAGAGACACAGTCGATTGCAAAATCGGATGTGCATTTGGTGACTGTTCGACTCATGTTGGATTACACTCCTCTGAAACGTGCCAAGAGCACTCTCGTTGCCCATTGGTCACAGTTCAAATCGTTTCCACCAATGTCGCAAATGCTGACAGGGTTTTCTCATGAAGACTAAATATGTAATGACAGCAGCTTGAGTCGAAGCGATCTCCTAATGCGGAATGCTCGCTTATTGTGCAAACCCTGGCTAGTTGAATGTATTCGATGATTACACCTCTCAGAGATCGCGTCAAAGGACGACAAGGAAAGATCTCGCATATAACTTTACACCAATAAAGACAGGACTCGAACTCATGAGACCATTTTTTGGCAGAAGGGGAGTCATGACTACCCGGGCTAACCTGCGCCATCAGCAGTACAGACAGGCAACTATCGTTGTATAAGTCTTCATCCAACACAGGAACGCTGCGCACCACGAACATGCGGCGTACAGAGCCTAGCCTGTCTCGCATTAGTAAGCACAACGTACATATGCGTCAAACACCGACAGTAGGATAATCTGGTTGGGGAGCGCCCTTCGGCATGCATTAGAGTCTACGAACGACTATTCGTAACTATGATAACACGGCCAGATGCACTTCCCATCGCCATCGCTTGCCCGTGAGTTGCAACGACATTTACTCGATAGTCCAGCGGGACCCACACCTGGTCCCATCCACGGCAAACTATGTCAAGAAACGACCTACCTGGAAAAAGTAAGCTAATGAACTTACGGTCAGCAGCGGTGCACCCAGACCTCTCAGCCTCAAATGTGCCGACAGAGCGCTTACGTGCAATCTACTCCCAGATTGCTCGATGCGTCACATGCAGATGCAAGCAGCTCGTCCTGACTGCGCATGTGGCGCGGTCGAACTCAATCAACCCCTCTCCGTGGGCACCGCATGAACAGACATGCGTCTGCTACAGCACTTACCGAACGGCAGCTTCAAGCTAGTGTCCTTCGCCGACGATGCTGTGCCCCCGTATGCGATCCTGTCGCACACTTGGATTGACGGTGAAGAAGTCATGTACAATGAGCTGGTGGCCGGTATACGCATGGACAAAGCCGGCTACGAGAAGATCGGCTTCTGTGCAGAAAGAGCTGCTCTGGATGTCCTGGAGTACTTCTGGGTGGACACCTACTGCATCGACAAGTCGGACGGGCAGGAGCTTAGTACAGCCATTAACTCCATGTTCCGCTGGTACCAGCGCGCGAACAGGTGCTACGTATACCTGTCAGATGTTTCTGTGCCGGACAACGTCGTTGATGCCCAGGCATTCCCGATAACATGGCTGGATGCGATCCGACGGAGTCGATGGTTCAGGCGTGGCTGGACTTTGCAAGAGCTTCTTGCGCCGGCCACGGTTGAGTTCTTCTCTAAGGAGCGTAAGTATTTGGGTAGTAAGATGACCCTGGAGCAGGAAATCCATCAGATCACCCAGATTCCCAACGGAGCACTGCGTGGACAGAGCCTTGCAAATTTTGGTATTGAGCAACGGATAAATTGGGCGACCACTCGCACGACGAAACGGAAGGAAGACAAGGTCTATTGCTTGCTTGGGGTCTTCGAGGTGTTTCTACCTCTTATCTATGGCGAAGGGGGAAGCAAACGCCACTCGGCGGCTCCAAGAGGAAATTAACAAGCGGCAGAAGGGTCAAGGAACGGAAAGTCTTCGTGAGATTGGAGGTGTGTCCTTATTCCACGTTGAATATGTGCCTCTTGATTGGACACTAACAGCGCTTAGTCTCACCGTCGTTGCCCTTTCCTAGGAACGAGCTGTACGTTGGGCGAGAGGATCAGCTGCGGTGGCTGGATCAACACCTTCGTATCCCAGACGCGTATCCTCGCGTTACGATCTGCGGACTCGGTGGTTGTGGGAAATCCGCACTTGCAATCGAATTCGCCTATCGTGTCCTTGCAGCAAATGCGACTCACATGGTTTTCTGGGTGCCAGCGATCAGTCACGAGAGCTTTGAGCGTGCCTATCGAGAAATCGGCGCTGCGTTTTGTATACCCGAAATTACGGACGAAAATGCGAATATCAAGCAGTTGGTGAAGGAGGCACTATCTATGGACAGTAGACGTGATTGGCTGATGATTGTCGACAATACCGACGATCCTAGTGTCCTATTGCGGAGACTGAATTGTGATCTCGGGGATGTTCGACTGCACGACTACCTCCCACGGAGTACCCGCGGCAAAATCCTGTTCACCACGCGCAGCAGGAAGATGGCTGGGGAACTCACCCCAGGTGCCAGCGCCGCGTCTCTGCTCCGACGGCGGTGGCTCAGTTTGAGCGCTTGCATGACCTTGCCAGGCATGCGATACACACCAACGAGACACTGGAGTCTGCGATCACCACAATCGCTCAGATCAAGCAGCAGCGGCCAGTCACTTCTGCGCTTGACGAGATTGATGCAGACGCCGCAAACGACATTGCTAGGTCCAGAGGCAGGAACTGATGAACCAGACTGCTGCTTGGCGATGCTCACCAATATCCGGCAGCGTGCCCAGTCTCATTCGGCGCGACTGTCTAACGAGGTTGCTCTGGTGCGTTGCTTCATTGCTTGTCCCCGAGAACATGTCGACTGATCGACACTGCAGGCGTACAACCTAGTTGCACATGCCGACAGTCAAGCCACTATACAGATTGCCGCTGCGTCGCAGCGAGACAGCGCCACAATGCGACTCATATCAGTGGTCACACTAGTCAAACCACACGACCACACAACCACATGACCACGCAACCACACGACCACACAACCACACGACCACACAACCACACAACCACACGACCACACAGCCACACGACCACACAGCCACATGATCACACGATCACACAACCACACAGCCACATGACCACACGATCACACAACTACACGACCGTGCGACTGTGCGACCGCGCGACCGCGCAACCGTGCAACCGTGCAACCGTGCGACCGTGCAACGGCAAAAGCAAAAGCAAAAGCAAAACCAACAGCAGCTTACGCCCACCGCACTGCGGCCACACTGGCAGAATTCACGACGATGGTCCCAAATAAAGACCTTGAGCATCTGAAAAGAATACTCAGAATCGCCAACCTGCGATGACGTCGCTATGAGCGTAACATTGAAAACGCCATTCGAAGACGCCGAAACCCTCGTGACACACGGCAGAGTATTTTGGAGAGTTGGTCGCGGGTTTAGATGTGTCCGTCGAGACGTTAATCCTCTTTGTATCCGCTTTTGGCTATAACGGCCTGATTTGTCGCACTAGCAGTCTTTTCGCGAAAACCTTGTCATTTAATTATATGCTGAGTCGACGACAATCGTCGCGGTCTTCGTGTTGGAGGCTCTTTTCCAGAAATTCTCGATAGGTCGACCTACCGGAAGCCAAAGATGTGAATTAGGCACTGTTTGCTGGTGCGTGTTTGCGATCATATTGAGTAGTATCGCCATACATTTCAATAACCAAGAAATACTGGTCCAAGCAGGATCCGAAGACTCGGTGTGCGTTGAGCCATATTGATGAAATTTCGGGTCAGACCATATTGGTCAACTTGGGTGTTGCCTGTCAACCACCCCAGCCACTTTCCTCTTCCAGCATAGCTGCACTCAGAATGGTGGATAGCATGCCTTCAATGCTGTTTCTGGATAGGAAAAGAACGAATTCGGGGCCGGACTACATAACTGATACAGCGTACGACTTCTGTACAACGGCTCCACCAACCGTAGACCGAATCGACTGATGACCGCTTATCGACCGTCTATGTATACCTTGCAGCATGACGATATTGCATCATGGCGCTTTCCTATGATTATTCAGACTGCCCTGTTCTCCAAGGTTATCTTCTTGGTCGAGCAAAGAAGGCGCGAAGGAAGGGTCAAGGGGCCAGGGTAAAGGAAGGGGCAAATGAAAGTGCAAAGGAAGGAAAGCGTATTACTCGCCCCCTTACTTCATGGTTATACCTTTTCACAAGGCCAGGTACCTGTGCTTCATCCAATATTCTGTCGACTCGTACATTGAGAGCGATGAGCCTACCGTCCATGTTCAAGGAAGGAGAGATCTCCCGAAGGCCACTGGCTGAGAAGGAGGGGCCGATCGGTGTTTGATGGACGCGGAGTCTGGTAGAGGCAGCGTAGAAGGCCATGGGGAACACGCCGGTAGGCTTAGCCCACTATGTTCGCTTCATCCAGTTGGATAGGCTACTATCTTCCACTCGATCAGTGGTGGTAGTCTCGGCAAGCCCTTCCAGAGGCGCCAGATACTCCTCCTCTTGTTCCAGGCCGTTTATACGAGCCTGGCGATAAGGGGTGATCTGTGTGGTCGAGCATGGTGACGATGCAGGGGACGGACCTGAACTAGACCGCGCAATACCATATCCTTGCGCAGGGTTCTGAATCCAGCTCTGTAGCAGCACTAGATACTGAAGGTGCTCTTACACCGATTCACCACAGATCTGAGTTGACGGATGCTGCTGTTGAAGATGACGGAGTAGGAGATCGTGATTGATGGAACGGAATTCACAGTATCGGCAGGGGCCACCGGCAGGGTGCTGCCGTAGATCTGGTAGAACAGGGCTGTGGTCTGGGAGATTTGGTATGTCTTTAGAGTTGGCAAGGCCAAGGGAACTGAGATCGCTGTTGATGTTCACGCGCGCGGCCGATGGAGTGTTGTGGGTTTGCCTGAGGTGCTGTGACACCCCGTTACTGCGGGTCGATAATGCAAGGCGGCACGACATGCATACAATACAGTTGGCCCAAACGGTGGGGTAATAATACGCATGTGAAGAACAGCAAGGCGAGCTGTACGCTCCTCGGGGCTAAGACTATACCAATGCATTTTGTAGCTGTAGTACCAGATATAGGTATTAAAAAGTACCACTTAAGTTAGGAGACAAAGAAATATAGTCGGACAGTCAGATGCAGAGTGGGGCATAGACCAAAGCTCTCTCAAGCGGTAAGAACCGCACCTCCCGAAGACTGGCTCCCTAGACAAATCATTCCTATACATCGGCAGGGGCTGCTAAAGGGGTTTAAAATTTCGGGTAACGGACTTTGCTGTTCGCCTGACTGGGCGCGAGGTTGACACTCGCCAATATTATTGCGCTGCGGCGAGGTTTGTGGCGCGACTAATGCCATCATGGACCAATAGTATCACAGAGTGAGTGGGGCTTGTGCGCGAATGGATGGTCCACGAGGCGTCCCGCGAAATTGGCCGATTCATGACGTGAATTGAGAAACAATATGGCAGCTGCTACATGCGCTTCACGAAGTGAACCGTGATGCACTAGTTGTATAGGGGACTTGTGTGATTCAATTAGGAAAGGTGGATGTGGAGAGTTGGAGAAGGTAGCCTTGTCAGATTAGCGTTAAGATTGCTTGGCGGAACACCTCGAAACGCCGACAGCGACAGTGAGGTCCTCATGCATCAGACAGAGATGAGACTTTCAGGACCTCTTGAGATACTCTGGATCTATTAGTGTAGTACAAAAAAACTAGAGAGTGTTGAATATCCAACTTCAAAACAGTTACTGCTTTCAGTGGTAGAGACACCTACTCGCCGAATGCCTTCAAGCTTTGGCATTCAGAGTCGGAATCTGGCTGCGGCTGCGAAGAAGGCCTCGATCGCCGCAAAACCCGTGCTAACGTCTCAACAGACGCAGATTCTCAACTTGTGCAGGACAGCATTTGGATGCTCATAGTCCATCGACTATCATATCGTACAGATCACGTGGTGAAGGCTTTCAATACACTTGCAGAGAGTGAGCTCATGAGCTCGTGAAGATATCTTGGCTCCATATGCAAACCACCACGCACACTAGAGACCTGCGAAAGGTCGCCTTCGTGTCTATTCCTCAGCCGCAGCAAGTCTTTCAGCGAACACGTGAGGTTTGTACGTTACCCGGCTGACTCACGAACACCTCCTCGCATACGATCGATCATGCATCTGCACAATGAAGTGGAATACACTTCACCAGGATTTGCACTCTGAAGCCCACGAGTCTTTCTCCCTCGTATTGGACGGTGTTACTGCCTGCCTGGAGCCTTGAAAGAACACTGTCCCGACGATCTATCCCGCAAGCCCGAGCACTTCGACGGCGCTGGATGCTACATAATGGCTGCATATCAACCTTTGGCAGGCTTTCGTGGTGGAAGTTCAGCATACCTTTGTCGAGATATACACACATTCACGACTGTTGGCATCGCTGACGGTTCCATATGCGGCCAAGCCTGCTCCCTGTACGCATACGGGCTTGTTCATGTGGATTTCTGAATAGGATGTGCTTTTTCAAGCAGTTGGCTACGCCAGAAGTGTGCTTTCGGATGTACAACTGGTTGATGGCAGAGCCACGCAGGAGTACTTGTCAGCATGGCATCGGTGGAGATTAGGGCGTGCTCGGCCTTCCTGATCTGCCTGGAGAAATATTCATCGGGAAGCCGCGTCTACCACATCCAGACCATGGCTTTATGGTATCAAATCTCAGCTTATGAATAATGCCGGCGTGCCGCGGTGGAGAGCTCGATCTGGGTGCTTGTTGTTAGTGGCCCGTCATGGCGGGACAGGGATGGTAATTTTGGATGAGTGCACATGCGTTCAAAAAATGCTGAAGTTGGTCTGCAAGCTAACAATCACGATCTACGTTATTGACGTGCGGTGCTGGAGATAGGCTACAAGAGTTCTGTTGCCAATTGGAACATTGAATAGCATCGCGTTTCGACATACAGGACAGTATGTTCCAGGTGTAACCCAAACCTCATTTCCAGCCCGTGCACAGATCGGACATCTCTTTGCGCGTGACTGATCTAGGTCAGTGGCATCAGCAGATGCTACTATATAGTGACTTGCGGATAGCTGGATGACATCCAGATTTTTATTTTCGGCCTTCACGGCGCATGGTGTTACTCGGCAGCTTGCAGGAAAGTAGTCAACCATGATGTTATAGTCCCATCACATCACCGTTTTCTGGTTATTTTGTGCACAAAGAAGGAGTTTAGTTGTAGCCGTCAAGGCTTCCAGATGAACAGACCCCTCAGCTTGGCTGTGTGACGTATACAGACTAGTAGAGACAGCAAGTTTGATCTACGATAGATCGTGCGAGTTTATTCGATCGTACCTGTCTGGCCTAAAGAATTTCCTGTTCCGGAAGCCGAAGTTACGCAAGCCATTTCTCGGGTGGCAACTCCAACCTACGCTTGCTTTGTTAATGACGTTCACATTGTTTCTGCAACGATCATGACTATGTACGTCATATCACATTCATTTTGGCATCTTCTCAAGGAAGCAGTACAGATATTCAAGTGGACACGAAACACTCCCACAAAAGAGAGCGCTTTACTGCTGGCCTGGCCAAGAATCGAAATATATTACGTACGAAAAGTGCCCAGGATAGTGCATCAATTCGTTCTGTCAGTTCTGCCATGCTCTATTTCTCTGGTTCGTGCGATTAAACAAGGAGCAGCGATGGCGGAATCGAATCCACAACCGAAGCCCAAACCGATCCCTGGCCCAAGGCCTGTGCCAGGTGTTTCATGAGGTCCAGAATCGAAGGCGTACGTTGGGGAATCTCACTATATCACTTTTCGCTTGCGAATATATCTGAGCAGTGTGCGAGGATCTACTACAACGCAATGAACCTGGTAATGTTTTGACACCGTGGCAGTGCTATAGTGGCAGGGTCAATGAGGAACACGCCCAGGCGAATATACCTAACCCGATGTGTGTTTTGAGATCGCCCGGATTGTGGTGTGACGCTGAAATCGAATTGAAGGAGGCGGGGTTGCTGGATTACAGTACCTACCCGGTAATCCAGGAGGTTTGTGGCGCGGTCTGCCGGTGTATTTGAATACGCAGGGAAGGCGACACCGCGCAGTGATGCTATGCTCATCGTGTTGTACAGAATGGGCTCAGGCGCCTGCTGTCGCGCAGCTTGACTCGTCTGAAGACTTGATTCAGTTAAGGGGTATATCGAAAGCGCAGACTTTCTTGTAAAGCTCTTCCGTCCGCGTCAGCCGTCCTTGGAATGGTAGCCACTACTCTGTGAGTCAATACCTGTGCTTTTTCCTCTCATAGAGAGAGGATAAGCTCCATTCGTCCGCCAAGTATAGGTCAAGACATCTGCTCACGGATCATCTTACCCGCTCAGACGAAGTCGCTCGGCGATCTGCCGACAGCTATCTTGAAGTGCTGCTTGCGTGGACCCAGAATAACCGCATCTGTAGATGTTTGGGGCATTTCTGATTCGCGTACTCGATCGCGCGCTGCGACTTGCTTTAAGCATCTCTTGGTGGTGCCCTGGCTATATTCAAGGTTAGCTTTTTGTCCCAGTCCTTACGCCCTCCTGGCTCTGATGCCCGATGCCATGGCTCATCGATGACGACGGTGGACGAAGCCGCAGTCGCGGTGCAACCGGTGGTTGAAGGAGCAGGCGGCACGCGGGGCTGGGCGCTGTAGTGATAATTATCGCCTACCTGCACTCGTATGTGGGAGTGGGCGTAGAAAGCACCATTCGTGTGTTCGGGACCCATGGCGACGACTCATCTGGAATTCCGGCACAGATCCAAGCAAGAACGAGAGCTTTCTGAAGTCGTCGACACCATCATCCATCTCATTCATGGCTGTGTGGCATCTATGATGGGGTGGAACGTGCCACAAGTTGAGGCTGAGGCTCTGGCCACCCGCTGTGATTGTGTACTTTGCCGAGCCCATTCACTTTGCACGGATATTCGAATGATATTGTTAATGACTTATATCGCGAGGATTGCTCGATCGAGATTGACACTTGCAGAGGCCAGTAGTTCTTAGAGCGCCAGCCAGACGTGGGCCATGCAAAGCAGCGCGCGGGGGGTTACTGGGGACATCGCTGGGCACCCTAGAACATGCGTGTGACTCGTGCTTAATCGGGTGAATTGATCTCTGACGCACGGACCACAGTGGCAACTTGTTAGTTCTGGCCCGTGCGCCGACCCCACGAAGTCGATTCGCAGATTCCAAAGATAGGCAAAGATCAGCTCGCAGGCTCACCAACCATGATGCTAACGGTGGGGATTTTACACCAATGCTTATTGGCCCATACAAACAACCCTCTCGTGGTCGTTTGGTCCAAGGCATATAATCCTCTTAGCAAGATTCAGGCGGACCTTAATATGAACAAAATAAGCCTATCCGCCGACCTCTTCTGTCAAGATTGCGTAAAACTCTCGGAACTTCGCACTAAGCACGGTCTCGCACCAGAGATATCTACTTAAGCAAGTCTCCAAGATGTCGACTGTTGGCGTGGTACCGAAGATAGCCACGACCAGTTTGGCGCACTGCGTTTCGAACCAGGGGCGACAAGCATCTGCATCGTCAGCAGAAGCTAGACAGCTTATATAGCCCATCACCAAGCTCCACAGTATGAGCAGTCGATGAGACGTCCAGATGTTTGAACAAGATTGTTGCGTGGTTGAAAGCAATTCCTCCAGGCGCTGTGCGAGTTTGCTTGCTAATCCACTTGTTGGAGGCAAGGGGTAGAGAACAGTATTGTTGAATATCAGGAGAGTGAGGCGAAGAATATCGTGAATAGCTATGTCACCCGGAGTAAGCTGGACATCATGTTTTCCGTACGCAATGACGTTGGTGCTCAGTGCAAGATACTGGGCTCTGTTGCGTAGACCAACCAGACTTGAGAACGCATGTGTGGTGGGTTGTGCTCGTTGGTAGTCGTCTAGAGCCTCTGTCGCTGCACAGGAGGCGGCCACGGCGTCGAGCAAAGGCGAGAAGTCGGATGTCAAAGGTATGACCACCAGAAATGCGGTCTTGATAACCTTGAGAGTAGCACTAGAGTCATGCTGCTTGCTTTCTTGTGAATGCTGTTGCGTAAAGAAGTCGTGATAGGTAAACATCGGAGCGGATACGGTTCTCGATGCGTTTATAAGATCGGCTCTATATGTTTTGTTAGTATGTGTATGTCAATAGGACGCAAGATCTTACTGACATTTGTACCAGTGCGGCAACGTCTGGTGATACCATCTTGCCAAGTCCTCCTGCTAACTCCACCAAACACCTCATGCCATTCAAATGCGCGCGATCGAATTTCAATTGCCCCCAAAAGTCCAGTAACTGCGCTTCCGCCAATGGCGATCTGAATCGTGAACCAGGAAGTTCTGCTCTAGGCTTCACAGCTAACTGTGATGTTACTGAGAGAATCAGTACAGTAGCAATAACTTCGTCGAGTCGGTCCATCGGGAGGTCGTCTATCACGTTTCGGATCTCATTGAGCAAGATCCCTGTGTACCGAGTCCGCATCTTCTCGTGAAGCTTTCGCTGTGGATGATCTGCCACGGAATAGTTCAGTCCCATTGTCACCGCAATCATGTACCCCCGAAATGCGTTCTTGGAAAGTTGCATATGACTGTAGAAGAGGTGCTCAGGGTGAGGAGTGGTCGCGGAGCTCGGAGCGAGACGAACCCAGAAGAATGCCTTGGCGTAATGTAGAGCATTTTGCACCAGCATCTCTTCGTCGTGTGCTGCATAGTCAAAGCAAGTAGGTCTAGGACTGAACGGCGCCAGTTCGTGACTTAGTTGTACTGTGCAATCCGAAGTCTGCAGTGGCAGAAGAATCATGTCGTCTGACGCCGGAGCAATCCGTATGACGGAGGTACCACAGCATGATGAACAACTAGCTGTGCCATTATGGATCTCGTCCTTCTTCAGCTTGGGTCTAGCCCGAGCATGAGCAGTCCTAGCGGCGTGAGATCTGGCATCAGCTTGCAACAGTTCCTCGGCACGCCTTGTTTTGGCCACAGTTCCTTTTGGATGTAGAAAGTACACAAACTTAGATACTGGCCTGCGAGGCCCCACTGGCGACTGAGCATTGCCCGTACCTTTGAGCGTTGGCATCTTCTCTCGAGTGCAAAGTCCCACTTCGAGGCATTTGCATGTAGCTGCAAAAGACTCACAGCTGTGTGGAGGCGCGCTATCGGACTTCTTATCGACTTAATATCCTTCACCGACCTCATTGAAAATGATGACTAGCTCGATACAAAATTCGTTCCCACTTTTCGCTGAGATAAACGAGAACTACGAGCATTAAGAAGATATGCAGCTATGCTGGCAAGCTTTCCATAACAGCAAAGCTTACTTTGAATGTACAGTGACTAAGCAGTCCCTGGTGTGTGGAGACTAATAGCATCTTATGGGTGGATCTCGTCCGGAAGCCAACAGGTTTTCAAGTTAGTAAACAAGAATGAAAGAGCATGGGTCACCACTCAGATTTGATGTGATGAACTAGCGCAAACGGCCAGCGTGATAATCGCAGAGATCTTTTGTACTGCATGTGCCAGGCTCAGATCGGAAAAGTAAAGCCTCAAACAAGCACCCCTTCGTGCAGCAATGATCATCCGTTTCCGTATGTATTATGTGGAAGTTGAGCACACAAACTCGGGAGAACGGCGACCGGTGTGTTGAGATGAACCATTTTATCTGCACAAGTACTGATTCTGTGGTAAAGGCGTTGGCTTGCGATCATTGACATCAAGCAAATATTCCCTCTTCAAAACGAGACAACCGATCTCTCCGCCTTGTATGTTTGACCTTCGAAGCCCCACAGCGCCAAACAAAGAACTCTCTCACCCGGCGTGCTCTGAGGAACCAATACGTGGAGCTCAGCAGCCGCTTACATGTGAGCAGAAAGGAAGGTCCTCATGATACGATAGCCCCTCAGATATTCCTCGTACGAGTGTAAGACATTAAAGTCGGCCCTGTGCCAGATATTAGTTACCAGATCTCAAGATATGTATCACACATGCCTTGACGTCATCCAGCCATGTACTTGGTCTCCAAACGTTTCCAAATAGCTATCCGGGTTTTTGGCCTTGATTTCGTGGAACCAGGCATCTACCAACTAAGCCGGTTGTCAGAGTTTCCTGCGGTACTCGATCAACGTGCACTTACTTGCGGGTTTTCGTCCTGACTTGGCAGCACACAGAAAGGAACAGTGACCTGCTTCGCGTCTTGGACGTCCATGAGGCTCGGGTGGCATCCCGCAGCAGCTTTGTATTTTGTGCCCGCGGTGGTCATTAGAGCCGCCATTTTCACGCCCCAGCAGAAGCCTACGATCGACCAGGTTGTAATTCCAGGGCTGTGCTTCTGGAACGCCGCGTGAAGAGGCTCCATGGATGGCAGGACGGTCTGTGGATTAGCAGGGCCTGTCATGAACGCCATGACGGCCTGCCTCTGCTGAGGAGTTTTCGGTGGGAAGATGGTGAGATCCTGTGGATGGTCACCCCAAAAGTCTGGCATGAAAACTTTGTAATCCCCAGCGCTGTCTGGCGTCTCTGTACTGCCCCAGGCAAGAATATCAGCGCCTTTGATGGCTTGAATGAACAGCCCGAACACGTCGTAGCAGAGGAAGATGCCCCTTGTAGCGTCAGGGTTGCCAGTGACATCTGAGGTGTTTAGTGCCATACCGACAGCCAAGAAGGGTTCAACTCACATGTTTTCATGCCATTAAAATCTGTATATTCTCCTCTTTCGTTGTAATCGTAGCCACCGCGAAGGATGACAGGGGGCCTGCTGCAACAAGCCTTTGTTTGTGTGGAGAAAGACATGGCGCCTCGAAAGAGATCAGCGAGGACCTCTTGTGAATAGTGTTATGGTTTCCGAGTCCAGTTTGCAGAAGAATTCAACGAATATATGAGACTGAAAATTCACTTTCGCTGCGAGACATGCCAAAGCTGGTCGCGATTGCTTACTGAGGTTGCATGGTCTTGCAGACGCCATTGATCCCGGTACGGCATTGCTCCTGTACACGGCTTTTTGAACATTACGATTCGATTCTTGCGGTAGGTAAGGAAATAGAGCTGCCAGTCGTCCAGAAATAAATTACATACATTGCGTTCACAAACATTATGCAAGACGCAGCCGCAGTTGGAAGTTACTCTAACTATTCTCGGTCGCCCGCATGGTGCTGTGGGGACTGGACCTTGCAGGCGGCTAATACCGGCATAGTGTTACTGCTTCGCATAGTTTTTACACACCAGATGTTCCATTCCTGTGGTGGATATTAAGACTGAGCTGCCTGTCGTACAAGTCCGTTATCGCAAAATGCACTCCTAGTCATCGTGCAGGATGCTGCCGGAAATGGAAGTTACTCTAACCATTCTCGATCGCCCCCCTTGGTGCTGTCCTCCGTAGCTCCAGACCTGATAGCACGCTCAAAAGCGAGTGAGATTGCCGAACGGCTCTCAATTCGCCAATATATGTCTCCGCGACGAGCTAAATGTAAGTGTTTCCACAGATAGCAGCAGCTGTGTTGCAACTGGACATGCTGGCACTGAAAGTTGCGATTGGTCCAAGATCCTGTGAGATACGGGGTCAAATATGCACTTGATTTCCGCTTTTGGCGTGGTAACAGGGAGCCATGTAGTACAGTCTCCTCGCTTTCTTCGGTCCTTGGCTGCCCGTAGCATGGCGGAGCGATGATTTACCAACACTTTCTAGTTGAACACTAACTTTGTACCTCCAGTATGGACGACTGATCTGTTCCTGGAATAGCGCTGTAGTATTTTCGAGATGTTTTCTGTCCAGAGATATTGTTGACCTAGGTACTCGAAATCGGTAGATACCCATGATAATGTCTCAGGAAACACTTGCTCCATGAGTAGAAACAAATAGTTCGCTTCATCAGAAATCACTTCGTCCCACATGGCCCAACTATCGATAGTCATTGTGTAGACCCACAGCAAAGCCCGCCGGTCGACCATCCGTGATGACGGAATGGTGCTAGGAAGTTTGTCGAACAACTCGATACTCAGTTGATGGAATATGCAAGCTCTTGATCTTACGTAGACAGCTTTATTGAGGCAATATCGTATCAAAGCCAGACATATCAGTTTCTCCAGAGGGGGTCCCCCTGGTCCGTCTGGCAGACTCAGGGCTGGACAAGCGCTCTCGTAATCGCTATGTATTGCATCTGCCCAGGGATCGCCGTACGCGACAGTGTTTCCAGGACTATAGGAGCGCTCCCATACACTCCAATTTTGCCGGGCAGCAATTCTCTGTATCAGTCGGATAGTCTCCGGTGAGATGCTGTTGACAGTCGCAAGCCCGTGAAATCCCGGTGGTAAGTCTGAGAAAAGCGCTGGAAGATCAGAGGGGGAATGATGGGATGGATTTCTGCGGCCTTGATATTTCCGCAAGGACCCAGGAAAGTTCCACGTATCAAACCTATCTCGATTAAATTATTGAGCAAACTTGGAAAGGACGAGCATTACTGTCTGAACGCACCTCGAAACTTCTCTCCATGAGTAGCTGCTCTACCACTGCTCCCCTGAAAGATGAATCGATCCACCTGTGCACGGTGAATCTTTCGAGCATTGTCCTCACCCAGAGCATCTTCGAGATGAGCCAAAAAAAGCATGGTAAGTAGCATGTCCTCGTCCACGAAGCTTTGATTCGACATAATTCTCGTCCGTAACAATGAAATTGCAGCAGTTTTATGCATTAGCATATCACTCTGGATTCCTCTCCCGGCGAGAAGGTCACGCGCCCTGCTCATCGTGGCAATTACCACATGAAATAGGTGAGCACTTTTGGCCATACGCTCGAGGAGCCATCTCCCGTAGATGTTTGTCACACCGAAGCAATAATTGACCGAAGCACAAGTCGGGGCAACGAACTTGATCACTGCACCTGATTAGTGCTTGGAGCCAGCAATTGGGTGATACGAACAGAACTCGATTGCATAGGATGCATAGGTTGAGTTGGATTCTGGTATGATACCAAAAGGATCGATGCTTGTTCCACTGATCCACTGCCACTCCGTGCGTCGACGGGATGAGAGATAAACTGCCAAGCGATCACGAGAGTGGTTTGGTGTATGTCCGTCACTTCGGGGTAGTCGAGAGCTGCTTGCTGATCTCGATTGGGAATTCTCGCTAGCTTGTGCAACTGGGTGGACCTTCCAAGGTCTGTTACGCGTTGTAGATCTCGTTATGAAGTTTCTGTATCCAACACGAGCCGCATGAGATCTGGCAGCGGATGTCTGAGAATCATGTTGATCTATTGTATCGACTTGGCCACTGACTAGAATAAACATATGTTAAAGTATGTCGTTACCTAACTGTCGTAGAATTTTTCCTGGTCGTCGATAATATCGAGCACATGACTGCATTTTGATGGCATAAGATGTATTCTGGGCGGGGAAATTATGTTAGTCATCATGGTGATGTCAGACGCGGGCCTGTAGACTCAGCATCGAAAATCTGGGCATTCACCATCGCAGCCATTTGCGTCATAATCACCAGCCATTGGCTGCTCTTGAGGCGCAGGATACATTACGTTGGCGAACAACGAACTCCGACGCGCACGTTGTGTCCGCTGGGAAATCTCAAAGCAACAGTATGGCCGTCTCTAAGTACGAAGAAGATTTCACCGATCTGACTGCCACCGTCGCTGCGACGCTCGCCGCTGTACAAGTGCAGTTGGCGGCGTTACCGAATGCTGCGCAGTTCAGTGCGAGGGTTGGCAAAGGCGAAGAGAGAGAGAAGTATGACATGGTTCGGATAGCAAACTCCCTGCACCGGGCGGATCCGCACAAATTGTGATCGAATGTGGCGGCGAGTCTGAAGCAGGGGAGCACGGTGGGGGCGGCGCTCTGCTGCGTTCCGACAACGCTGGATGATGAGGCGAATGAGTACCGTCCGTTGAGCTTACTGTGGTGCGCTTGTATTGACCCTGCCATGATTTCCCACTGATGCCACACACCTCCGTAGCAGGACCTCCTGCGACATAATGATCTTATAGCCGAACAGGCCCTGAGGCAATACGGCCTGGCACTCCCAGCACTGTAGCCATGGAGATCCAAGATTTGACGCAAGCGGTTGATACAGCTGATACAGATTCCAAACAGACAATTCCTGGCGATTTGGATCACTCCAACTTGCGACGCACTCTGGTCGCTGGCGCCTACATACCTTTGAGCCAGGTATCAGGTAGCGTTCTGGGCATTATCTTCACGACAGTGCTTTTATTCCAATGTGGAGTCGCGGACGTGTTCAAGATCAACATACGGATCCAATGCTTAGCACTGTGTGGTCAAACCGTTGAAATGCAACTAATCGATCGGGCTGACAGAATACAGATTGGATTGTTTGGAGCGGCCACCCTCCTCTCACTGAGCATAGCCATAGGATCAGTGGCTAAAAGTAGCTCGCCGCCGAAAGGATACAGTTGCACCCTGACGGCGCCCTGCGTCGTAGTCCGTTTCGTAGATGCTGTAACGTTTACGTCAATGTAAGTTGTCCTTGCCCATCAAACTACGGCTGTCTGAGTTCCCAGAGAGCCGTGAATGGGCGTATCTAGAAGCACGAGCTAAGTCGCCGCCTGTCTCGGACTGAGAAACTGCTACAGGATCGGCAAATCTCCTGCTGGCGGTGGAGATGTGATGATAAGATCAAAATGGGAATAATGTCGAGGGATCCAGGATAATTGTCCAGGTACGATTAGTCATCGTGAGTCACCAGGCTTCTATGTTTGATCCAGTACTGACCAGCACTGTCCCGTCCCTCAGGCGTGCTATCGCTGCTGAAAAGTCAAAACCAATCCAAAGCACGCGTGAAATTACTGATAACTTAACTAGCACTAAACTCTACCTTTAAGCGGCTTTCCGGATACGTAGGCACTCCCATACACCTTGGTAATTTGTCATCGGATGGTTCAAATGATCTAGACCTGGCGAAAAACGGCTTCCCCCGTGAAGTGAGCGGACATGACCTCTTCACCCTCTTCAAGTTGAGATGGCGACTTCTTCCATAGAGTATCTCGGATGGACGTCCCTCTCTGCTGCTACCACATAATCCATCGGTTTTGTAGGGCGACCAACCTAGCGAATTTCCGCGCTCGTGAGGAGGTTGATCGTGCTTGACATCGGGATGACCATCGGCATCATTGCGATGCCGAATGCGGCAAGCTCGTCAAAACAAGACATCACGTTTCTACCCATACTAGAGACAGGCGAAACACAACGCCAGAAAGAGATAGCCCGGTCTATCGCTCGCAGCCATGCGTCTCGCGTCTCGCATGCTCGAAGATATCCTAACAAGCGTAAAGACCAGTGCAAACACCACCAACACCAAGCAGCTTGCCGAATCTGTTCTCCATCGACCAGTACAACCAAGATTCTACCGCAGCAACAGTACCAATCCACCGCTTTTCGCGTGAAATGGAAAGGAAATTCGGATCCATTTGACAGCCAGGCGATTGTGGTCACGCCTCGGGTCAACGAAGCCATATATTTCCAAGACAAGCACATCATAGCTGCATTGTGCGCGGAACACTCCGAGTCACTCCTGAGTATTCTCACCAATTATACTAAGACTAAGCCTGCCACGACCCGGCTTGAGATACTCACCAGCTCATGCTTCGCCACGACATTTATTTTCTCCACCATGGTTTTGATGGACCAGTTTCGTGAAGGACCTGATATAGAGACATTGGTTTTCCAAAGGGAAAGTGTAAAGCTTCTGCGCTTGAGCATCGCTCTGAACAATCTTGACTTCAGTTTGCTCATAGCCAGTATTTTCCATATGCTTACAGCGGCAGTGTACCTCAGGGACGAGATTGCGGTGAATGTCCACGGAGGCGCATTCTGTGAGATGGTACATAAAAACAGTGACAAAGGCTATCTTGCGACATCTTTTCTTATACATATGCGCTGGACGAGTCAGAAGGATGTCGCGAGATCGCTAACGAAGCAACCTTTCGGTATTGCATCCCCACCGCCACCGATGATCAGCGGGAAACGATTGCCAGTGTGGAACGATTTCGATGAAAGCTTGGCTCGCTCCCCGTTCAAAGGACACTTTACTGCTATGAGACAAGCATGGTCCGTTCGTAAGACTGGTTCGAAATGCTTTCCATTCGACAGCGAGTCGGGAGCTGGCTTTCGCTTTTCTACTGGATCCCCTGGCGTCGATACTGCAAGACCATCGGACGCGGATAAAGTCACAGCATTCTACAACAATCGACTCCTCGCAATAGTTTTGATACAATATGAAAATCTCTTGAGCGGCCCAGCATCCTGGGTTGGATACTACTTGGCACCAGGTCAAACCGTGCCGGACGTGGTAAGAATTGCGGTTGAGCAGGGGTGGCAGCATGCTTCGAAGAATGTGATTCTCATCGCCTGTTTGCTCGGTGCTTTAGCTGAAACTCAGACATGGACCGCTGATTCCAAGGTGGGTTGGTGTTCCCAGAAATTCGTGGGATTGACCGGCGGGTGGAAATGGAAGGAAGTTCTGCGCGTAGCAGAAGGCTTTCTGCCGATAGAGGTATTGATAGACGATGGAGAAAGGTGGTTTCGGTGGGTCATGTCAGTAACCACTGAGAGCTGGAAATTTGAATGAGGGAACGTCGATGCATCTTGTTGCATCGAGGAATTGACTCTATCAACGAAAGTCGACCGATCAGCGCCCGCTATATACGGCAGAAGGGAGCTGATAGATTGGAGAGCAGAGAACGCAACCACATCTCGAGACTTTATCCGTCAGTGGTGCCAGATTTCGGAGCCTCATTTCTTGCAGTACCATCGGTACTACTGCTGTGACGAGTTTACATCACACGGCAAGGAAGGTACTGTTAGGAACCGCTCTGTGCGTCGTGTTCACCAGGTTTAGCAACCAGGGTGGTATACGGCAACGGGTAGTACAGACGGGTCTTCTTCCAGTTGGTTAGTAACGCAGTGTGCTGTACTTGGTCAGCCAGGTAGAGGTATCAGAAGGTTCCAGCAAATAGAGCAGTCTGAGTAATGAAGCGTTGTTAGGCAACGAAGTTAACTACGAGAGTCCTATTTAATGCCGAGACGATCTGTCCCTCTATATAGTTTTCGTAAGAGAATGTAATACTGGGTCTGATAGGTGTGCTGGGTAGTGCTGGGTGGCCATCGCGACCCATCAACCCGGCAGACCCATCATGGCGGTCACGTGACCTGGAGTCCCTAGGCTCGGCTAACCTTCCTGTGCTCCTCGGGCCGAAACGTCACCGGTGGCTGAGGGCGGCCTGCAGGCGACCTGGGTCGTAACAGATACTTGCACAGTTGAGCAGCCGTTGGTCCTCATACTTCTGTGAGCCGACCACCACACCTGATCTCACCGTATGCTCGACGCAGTCGGAGAAAGTGGCCTGGCTGCAGGCAGTCGCTGGCCTTCTTTCCTCGCACAGACTCTCCATAACGCATCCGGATCAACGTTCCTATCGCGAAGACATCTAGGTTATAAACCGGGTTCCAAAGCTCCGGTCGCGTTCAAGCTACGGGACAAACCTACCTGTTCCAGATTTTCCTAAGCCACTGCTGTCATCGGCTAGCATTACTTTTTGACGCTGCGTCAATAGTCAATCCTCCGTCAGCCTCTTGAGGAGTGTCATGCGGTGGTCAGCATGGATTTGATATCAACTTTCCTACTGCTAACCGTTGAGAGGCAATTTTAGTAACGTAGTTCCGCCACCATGCAGTAATCTTGCAAACACCATTCAGTCACTGTCTGGGCGCGACAGAGACTGCTTTGTCAGATTCGTCAAAAGAATGCTCCAGTGGTCACCGGATAGACGTGCAACGGCTGGAGAACTTCTACGGGACCCGTGGCTTCACACGCAGCAGTTCAGACAGGGACAACAACGACCATTGAAGAGCTCATGTGAAAGATACCTAACCACGTAGACAGTAGCAACGAGCATTTCTGTGATGACTTCGAACTTGCCAACCTTATCGTCCGGAGTCCAGACGAACTCACGGCTAGTCGTTGTCGGATCAAGTGAAAGGCACTTGTTTCGAATATCAGTACAACGGATGCACTGACAACATCTCCATCTATGTCGGAGTGCTGGAAACGCTTTGTAATCCAATCAGACATTATCTCTCCTTGCCCAAACATACATCGCCAGGTAAGAATGCGCTTCGCGCTGAGACGTAGGCAAGCTCTTCATGGCTGGTGCATTGTGTCTTCGGGCTCCTCGTGCATTCCGCACCCTGTGGGAACGACGACGAGTTGATTATTACCGACGAATGTTAAATTATCTTCGAAGACCCTAAATCGGGCAAGCATTATGAGAGATCACAGTAGCCATCATTCCACGAAATGGCGCAGGTGCGCAAGCTGTGCTTATGCGGATCAGATTCCATTAATTAGCATCTGTCCCAACCACCCTCAAACAGTCCTACCCCGAGCCGAGTGGTTTAGATGCGCCATCCAATCGAAATTTCAGTAGCTCAGTAGTAGTGACAAATCGATCCTCAAACTGGTGATCCATTCCCCCTTCTAGGCATCCCGGGCACAGATTGTGGGCAAGCATTGCCTGAATATCTTTCACCGGGTCGGTCAGAAGCTCATAGCCCAACACCCTGTGTATATTCAGAGCCATGTGAGGGTATCCATGGTACAGCTTGCTTCGTATCTGGTATACGTGCTGAAACAGACGTTCGACGAAGCCTTCGTCCTCATCTCTTAAAATATCGGCGCCCATGATGTACATCGACACGTCAAACTTTGTAGCACTTCTGCTGAGGACCTCGTTCGGAGTATGGCTTGGACTGATTTTTCAGTCCCAACGATCAGCAGCATCAGGTACATATGACCGTTGATAGTACTCCATACGTTCTGGGGTGAACCAAGGAGATGCACCTTTGTATCTGTGCTGCGCACCCTCAGTGTTGTCAAGAGATGGTGCAATAAGGCACACTCCCCGAATACAATTGCTATATCGATGTAATGCAGCAACGATTGCGAGGTCAGCGCCACTGTAAATGTCAGTAACTACAGCGGAGGTTATAATTGGTCTGACCTAGAAAAATCGGCGATAACAACGTCAGCTGCCCCATACTGAGCCTTAACCCAGTCGATAGCATCGCAAGTTGTTTGAAGAGGAGCAGGGAAGGGCGCTCGAGTGTAGCCTATAGAGATAATAGGGAAACCCAGTGCTGAAGCTAGTTAGCATGTGCTAGAGGTGGATAGTCAATAGAATCATACCTTTGCGTAGCTTTTGAAGTACGTTTGCATCGCTCTCTACATCACCTAATTGCTAGCCTCCTGGTTGAGGTTAGCTACTTTGCAGGTTCTGTTTGGTTTGCCTTACCGCCCCAAAGCCATATCAATATCTGACGCGGTTTAGCCACCGGGCCATATTCCCTGACTTTAATTTTGAGCCCCAGTGAGTGTACTGGTATCGCATCACTGATAAGTGCCTCAGAAGGATTCAGGACAGCGTCAGCTCTGTCCCACGGTACTTTCAACGCAAGATTGTCTCGAGTTGCCGCACTGGGGTAGTACCAGAGGTTATCGTTATAGAAGGCTCGAAATCCGCCATCAACCACAGCGCTATCCTTACAGGAGAGTGGTGACATGCCGATTCCTCTCAGGAAGGGAGAACTGGTCGGAATACCAACTATATCGCAGCATTCCTTGAAGACCGGCCCAAGTTCAGTCATACTGAGACAAAGGCGCTGGCATATTTCGCGATAGGGAAGCTCCAAGTTGCTCCGGGTCGTTCTGTTGGAAACATCGTGGCCCAGCGCAACAAGGTAAAGGCCAACAGGTAGAAGTATTTCAGAGGTGTCCCTGGACCCAAGCGACAGCGAAGGGCTGGTGAAAAGCGATCTTGAGCTTGTGAATGAGACTTTCAGCCTCTTCCTCGGAGTAAGTTCCTGGCCTGCCCCCAACTGTACCACCATCCCATCAACAATCTGTGGCGTTAGGTGGCGACAATCCCAACTCGGATCTTGCGACTCCGATGGAAGCTTCCCTGTCCATATAAAAGGAAGAAGGATCGCGAGCAGTTGATCGGTGGTACTCTGTACGAGCCGTGGTTAATGCGAAATTTGGCTGTGGGACAGACGGTCTTACCATGTTGGACTGAGCAATTCTGTCATCCATGAGAAAGTGAGGAAAAGTCTGAAAACGAGAACCGAGGGAACTCGGGTACTTGAGACATTTCAGGTTCTCCCGTGATACTTGGAAGGAGGCTCCTATATTGACTTGCAGGGCGAGAGTGCGGGAAACAAAGCTTGTCATTCGTCTACTTACACAAAGGGCCAAGATAGTCACTCTTGACAGCTGGGCGCCAACCTCCGACAAATACAGCCCCATCTGATGCCGTTGTTGTCAACCCCGTCGCCTTGACCGCTTCTTCCTCCTCCTCCTCCTCCTCCTCCCCGTCTACTCTAGTCTTTAAAGTGCTATAACCCTCACCATCACAACATAAAGGGTCCGTCTTGTATTTTGCACAAGCTGGCACGTGGGCTGAGTGGCTACGAGCTTCGTTTGCGTCTGGACAGGAAAGATTATTGCCCTTCTGCATTGCATGCCACTCATGTGTATCGCTTGGGGCAGAGATAGAACAGGATTTCCATACTCCCTCAACCCAGCCCGGAGTTGCTGTGGATCAAAGCTTGGATGGGTATTCTAACACAGAGGCATGACTGGACGTATGATTGACTGTGTTCTGATGCACTAGTACTAGTGGTGACTGTGATTGCGCTAGCAGGGTTCAGAATGCGGCACTATCCCTGCTAGCTTCAATGTCAAGGAGATTGTGCATGCCATTCTTGAAAGCTCAGGGTTCTGAGTATCTTCTCTATCAGCTTCTGGATCCCAAGTTACTAGCCTAGAGTAGTGTGAATGAAGCAGTCACGTACTGCTTCCCCAATTATTGTCCAATATTTCAGGCCGGAGATTCCAAAATCGGGGATGAAGTGATTAAGCGGGGTATGTTTCCCATACTCTTTACTACCTTGCTGTGTGAATGAGGGACTGGCAGATACACCTTCGTAGAGTGCGGCATTGCGTAGAAACATCCGTTACCAGGTTACATGGCGAAGCGAAAACCGGTATGACTGGCACGTAGGAACCACTAGCAATTAACTGCTTTTGGCCGGTGTGCGCATCTCATGATCATCAAGCATCCTGGTCAACTTCTTGCTTAATTCCAAGCACAGAGAACTTATATATTAGCAGGTTCGCTCGGTGGTTCACTTTTGTCTACATAGCACGAGCAGACCCCGTTGTCCTATAGAATGGATCTCGCCACGCTAGATTTTTTTGTCTCACATATGCCCCAATGGAAAGATGCTCAAGTCGTTGCGAATCGAGACTCTCTTATGAATGAGATCAAGGTTCGACTGCAGCCCTCCAGTTTTCAGATAGTACCGAGGCTTTCCTGCCGTTCGGAAATCCTGGATCTGCGACTTAACTGGGACAAAAAGACGCCAAGTGAAAAGTTCGATCAATTTCACCTGATCATGGACTACGAGGCTCATAAAAATCCGGATCGAAAGATTCAAAACCTTTTTCCCTAAGTGTCGCTTCGTTTTCCTTCTTGATGGAATACTTGCTCCACTATTGCAGAGGCTAAACGACCGCAACGAGCTGTACTTCAACGGACGCATGCACCAACTATTATCGCGGCAACACGTCTTCCCTACATGTGCCTAGCTAGCAGACGCCGCAGATGCCTCAGTGCAGTTGGTTTTTTGGAACAGTATGTAGGCTTTGACACCACAAGAAAGGTCACCAAGTGTCTACAATGTAACTTACAGCCAGCTTCAGCAATGAAATCGTGTATATAGCTCGTAATTTTCGAAATCTAATGCCTTCACCGCAAAGCAGCAGCCCTCAATCGATTCTCGGCAATCTCTATAGCCGCAGCGTTCGTGGTCATCCCCAACTTCTCTGCTCTCTCTAACAACTCCCTCACGTTCCTATCGATGGAGCTTTTCGTATGTTCCGCTGCCGCAGCCTCAGAGTAGTGGCGCAATTCGACCGCAGTAGCGTACATCAGCCCACCAGTATTGGCAATGAAATCTGGAACATACACGATGCCTCGACGCGTGAGCTCTGCGGCAATGTCATCGGATGCCAGCTGGTTGTTTGCAGCGCCACAGATGAGCCGCGCCTTGATATCGCCCACGGATTCCTTGTTGAGAATCCCTCCGAGTGCGCATGGTACGAAGATGTCGCATTGGCTGACCAAAGTCTCTTCTGGGCTCATCCATCTTGCACCAAGTTTATCGGCCAGGTCCTTCCGCTCAGGGTTGATGTCGGTAACAGAAAGCTCGGCGCCCTCTTTGGCAAAGATTTCTGCTAGCAGGGTGCCGATACCTCCTAGACCGATGATGACGATAGAGAGCCCTGACACAGTATCGCGGCCAAAGACAATTTTGATGGCGGAACGAATGGCCTGGTCGACACCAACAAAGGTACCAAAGGTGGTGCCTCCCGCACCCCCTGCCTCCTTGGAGTACCCGCCAACGTACGGGGTGCGACGGTGAATGATATCGATATCAGCTGGACCGGTACCGACATCGGGGGCGGCGTAGTAGGTCCCGTCAAGTGAATGCACAAAGTCCGCAACATCCAACAGGATTGCTTCTTTCAGTGCCGACGTCAGCACCAAATCTGTCGGCAAAGGAACGACAGCTTTTCCACCCCCTGTTCCGTTGTCAATAGCTGCCGCCTTGAGCGTCATGGCTTGAGAAAGTCGTAGCACGTCAGCCAGCCCGTCGGACATGTTCTCATAGTGCTTGATGCGGAGACCGCCAATTGCCGGTCCTAAGATGGTAGAGTGAACTGCGATCATGATGGGTAGACCTGTTCTGCGGCCAGGTCTGATCTGGACATGCTCATGGTCAACGGGGACTGCGTATGTGTCCATGGTAAGTTGCTGCTCGAGTAGGATAGGCTGTGTCGATGCAATGAAAAGTAGGCCAAACCTAAAGTGAAAAAACGAAGCTAAGGTAAGACTGAAAGTGACCACATCTCGGTAAGAAAGCTGGAATCAAGGCGGCTTTTGAACTTATGAAGAGGCACAGGATTCGGCAGGAGATAGCGCATGTAAGCCTTTCTCTACATGACAATGATTAGTGAACACGTCCATCAGCCTCAGGCAAAGTCTGCAATGTCGAAATCGAATCGCTGAGGCGATGTGGGTTGACGCAGGCGAATAATGAGTGCCTGACACTCCAGTCATTCGAAGCAATGCTATCGAGGTGCACAGGCTTCCGAGACGTGTTATACTCATCCCTGAACTTCCAAGATGGAAACTTTACAAGGGAGCATTCTGCCTGGCGTAAGAATGATCTAGCTGACATTTCTTAGAGATAGTAGCCATTGTTAGTTGCAGGAGGGGTGTAGCGTACGACGAGTTTCGTGTCTTATTCGATCATGATATCTGTCGTCAACAAAATTAAAGCGCGTTCCGTCAAGTCTTGCCAAAGGGGTAGAGAGCGACGAAGTCGAAGTCGACATTCTGCAAACGCGTTCGTCGTCGTAGTGTAGAATTCCGTTGTGCTATATCGGATTACTTGGGGGGCTCACAAAGTAAACGTTGAATCGACGGTGTTGATGAAGCATCTGCTGACACAGGACTACCAGTTGTGTATTTTGCGGCCGGGGGTTTTATTTCTTTGACTTGCATTGTGAAAGGATGTCTGAGGCAATTACTTGTAGAATATTGCCATCCGCAAGTTCTATAGTGTATTCATACCATCTGTCGCCAGCTGATATCGCAATCCAAGTACAGCTCCTCAGCTATGTCACAGCTTCGGAATGGATGCTCGCCATAGATCTCTTCATGCAAGGACCTGCAAACTAGAGATTGACCTACAGTCACCTCTATATCCTCCCATTTGTTCCCGAAAAGCTTGTTGCCTGCTGCGGACAAGTAACTTGAGAACCAGTGATAATGTCTCGCCACCTTTACAGGGAATGTCATCTTGCAACAAGTCCTTAGTCATGAGGCAGAGTCTGTGTTGAATAAGCGACGATTCTCTTCAAATTGCACGAAGTTTTGCCGCCGCCGCAGAAGTGAGCATCGTATACGAACGTCGGCCGCCACTAGCTAGGATAGGCTAAAGCAATCTCACTTTCCGAGCCCGACTTCCTTATGTAGCTCATGGAGAAAGAATTCGATCAGGCTAATATTAGGAGTCGCTGTACGGGAACCAGATCGACAAGTCTCCAACTACGATGAGTTTTGGGGGCCGGGAGACCACTCTTTGAAAATTATACCTGACCAGAATGAACAGATCATTGATACTTCTGCCGGTAGGCAATCGAGTCCGCATGGGACAATGCAGTTCATCTGCGGTCCCCTTGGCCATACAGGGGCACTGACTTGTGTCAATACTGACATTCATCAACCAAGGTTGTACTTTTGAGCCATTCTGGCCACTTCGAGATGACGACTCGATTGTAGGGGTCCGACTTGATCTGTTACGACATGACGACGTAGCCCTTCGTGTACATTCTCGAATAATCTCACTCTTTATGCTCTGCAAATCAAATTCCTCTGCTCCATTTCCGCAGAGACGGCCTGAAAGTGACCGGACGATGGCTGTGCGGGTAGTAACCGTTGTATAGGATAAGAGTCTCACAAATTCGATTGCTTCCAGAGAGCAGAAGGTGGCCCGCCCGTCCGAACTCGATCGCTGAGAGACTTTGGCAAGCTTAAGGATCAATGCACCTGGCGCGACATTCATGTCTGCTGATTCAGCCTCGAGATTAGAGAGCACACCCTCCCCTGGCAGTTCCAGCAAAGCGTTGAGTAAATATAACAGAGCGATTTGAGTTCCCTCTCCTGAAGCGTACAGGTGTTGGGTAAGCGAGGGTGACCGTCGTCCCGTGGGTACTCGAAATCGCCCCAGTGCGGATTCCAGTTCAATGCGACTCCGAAAGATTGCATTATCGAAAAAGGTGAAAACAATGAGGAGACCAGCTTGGCTAAGTACTGGAAGTTGAAGGATTGTATGCAAGCCACCTCTCAAAACGAACCAATTCCGTAAAGCAGAGCTGTGGCATATGGCAGCCATGACGTGCCCCGATCGATATCCAGCCACGATAGCTGTTGCCAGTGTCATTGCTGTAGCTGGGTCCTGGAAAAAGGTTCTGTCCTGTATCAAGAGTCTCAGTCTTGGGTATATTGCTGCGCGCCTCATGTAAACCATGTGTTGTGCCAACCCTGCTTTTATGTCTGAGATCAGCATCAATCACTGTACTGCCGCTGCCGATATGGCCAGCTTTGGCAAGATGATATCGCGGATCGGACAAAAGCCAACATCCGTGATGCTCGAATCAGAAAACACAGAATACCTGCGCAAATCTCCACAGTTAGCAGTTGCCCAAAGAGAATGATTAAATCACGAACAGTTGCCTAATTGATTGCTCTCGAGGGCCGATAGATCGTCGGCGACGCGCAAGAATGGTTCGAGTCCTCCTGTAGTGATACCGCCCGTTGGGCGAGGCGTGATTCTATGTGAACGGGAAGTTATAGTCTTTTTCTTTGATCGTGAGCGAGCATGCGCGACCTTGGCAGAGTGCGACCGAGTCGCAGAGACGATCAGCCATTCTTCTCGCTCTGTGGTAGGAGAGCATCCAGCTACTGGCAAAAAGTACAGCTCATCAAGTTTCATGGTTACGGACTTGCTTGAGAATTGCACAGTGCAGTGCAGGTGTAACCGCCCTCGATGGACAGGAGTTCATTTACAGAGGTAGGAAAGCGTTCTATGAAGCATATGGATGTTGGCATCAATTGAAGTCTAGGTGTATATTCTTGCGAGCCGTGTCAAGGACTATTGCAGTTGGTCAATCGAGAGAAAGCGCCAGAGCTGTTCTCGATCTTGCTTCTTATTTCTGTCCATGGTGCATGAACATAGTTTTGGAGACCGTATCAAACATATACGATCAATATGCCGTGCACAGTGCTGTAGTGGCTTAGGATGGCGCAGGAGGGCGCCGACTCTTGCAAGCATCACACGGTAGCTTATTCCTGCACATCTACCAGCAAATGACCAATCTTACTAACCCGAGTCTCCAACGGCAGCCACGCTTTATGATTTGCTGTTCCACTAGCAGCGCACATAGTTCCGCGTTTCGATCCTAGGGGACGATCGTGGAGCAATATTCAACCTTGGCATTCATCAGAAGAATCGAGAGCTGAGCAAATAGCATGACGGGATACCGGTGGCGTTTCCATGGCATTATTCCTGCATAGGAACTGAACTGACTATAGTGTAGCCAATCGTGTAGTGCTACAGGCCCTTGAGATATCGATGTTATGGCTACGATGAGTCACCCTGTCAAAAGCGAGCACACATTCTTGTCCTCCTTCTGTCGCAGAATGTTTGGTGCGACATCGCACCCTAATTGTCTGACGCACAGAATACAGTATATCTGCCATGGGTTTTAATGCAGGATACTTTCTAGATACGGTCGCATTCGCCGTTATTCCCAATTGCATAGATCTGTTGAATCATCTCATTCGTTATCTCAGATGTCGAAAGACTCGCCTACCAAATGCTCACCAATAGTCCAGAGCTTGCCTCTGGCATGGAATGAACCTTGATGCTGTTTGAGTTCCACGACCTGACAGTCATCAAGATAGGCCCCCGACTGATCCCTTAGATGAGGGTCCAAGCCTGCCCTCAATTGCGTCGCGCATCCCTGTTGGAGGGTTTTTCGGACGGGTGGCGTGAAGTTGGGGTCTTCTTTCAATGCTGCCTTGAATGCTTTCTGCCGCATCTCCTCCGTTACGTTTTGCTGCAAAGGAGAGATGACGCTGCCTGGGTTCAAGGAGAAGGTAGTGATGCCCCTTGACGCAACCTTGGCCGCGAGAGCTCGGGTATACAGGACCAACGCAAGCTTGGAGACTCCATATGCTTGTATAGGGTCGTACGACTGCCCGTGGCTGTACGTCAAGTCGTCTAAAGGAGCCAAAAGATAGTGAGGCGAGCGTACCGAGGCGGAGCTACTGACATTGACGATTCTCTCGACAATAAGATCCGCCTGTAATAGCAGATTGGTAAGTAAGAATGGACCGAGAAAATTAGTTGCGAACTGGGTCTCGATCCCATCTTCTGTCAACCCGTAGGGGCACGCCATAATCGCCGCATTGTTGATGAGAACATCGATCCTGATGTTTTCCTGTCTCACTGTTTCAACGAATGCTCTGATCGATTTCTGACTGCTCAGATCCAGTAGGAGGACTTCTGCGTTTACACCCTCGGCTCTCAGCTTGTCTAGGACCGGCTGGATTCGTGACGGCGACCGACCAGCCAGAATCAACAGTCGTGGATGAGCTTTACCAAGGCAATAAGCTGTTTCTGCACCGATGCCTGCCGGGCTAGTGCCTGTGATCAAGACTGCAAAGGTCATTAGTCTCATTGTTCAGGAGCATTCGAGATACATACATGTTCGTCCTTCTACTCGATCATTGAACTTGGCGACCACATCAGTCCCAATTGTCATAGAGTTAAAGCTGACCATTTCGCCAGTGTTTATCAGATTAAGACAAGTAATTGCAATATGATCGATATAACGCCGTCATCTACGCTCCCTTTATAGCTCAGGCACGAGACATATGTATGGGTGGCAAGCCTTGCATGATATCAGTGAAAGATGACAGAGGGATCCAAAAATTGCTCAAGTCTGGCAACGCAGACCTACGTCATGATACGACAAAACTAGAACGCAGGAACGGGGTCATCAGTGAGATTGAGTCTTTCAACGTTCGTTGCGTCTGAAGTTCTCCTTTTAGGGCAATGCAGTGTTAAGGCTTGTCGATTTCAGGTGTAGTTGGAATACGATTTGCCTAACCGCTTCGAGGTACTGAACAGTCGCTTATTTAGGCAGTCCAAATCTTTCTACATGCGGTACAGTGCGAAGGTATCAGAATGAGCTGGCCGGCTACGCTAGTGGATATGCATTTTTGCTTTGATTCGTCTGGTTCCTGTTGCTGTCGCATGCACAAGAGAACCCGTGGACTGATTTGACCCAAAAGAAGGATGTTTGAAATCGCAGTGCATGCACTGTTGATAATGTGACTGAGACTCTGCAGTGCATGTATCAGCAAGATGCGTCTGGCAATTTAAATTTCGATGTCACAGGAGATCCTGACTTTAATCTACGCCACTTCAAACATCCTGACTAAGATCCGGCGTCGATGTTGCCGCTTCTCACCGTCTGATACTCTGAGAAGTCGCAAGGATAAATGGCGCCTAACCGCCACCCTTTCGATGTGTGTGGGATTTTCGGCTGTTCACGTTGTGTAAATCTCTCACATACCGAACATACCGATCAGGGCTTAGTACACAGCAGTCATGAGCGGGGTGCCACCATCAGTCACCACTTTGATTTTGAGAAACGGGTTTGTTAGCGTCTTCTCATCGTGGGAGAATCTATTTTTAATATCCATAGTAAATATGCCGAAGCTTACACCAAGAGCCATTCTGTGGAGGAAGTCACGGGAAACACCGCAAACTTCCCATCAGTCATCATCGGTAAGTGCTTGAGACCTTTCTCCGAAGTAGTTGATGCTGGCAGTGTGAAGCATCTGGAAGACCCTAGTGCTCGCTATTATCGTGCTGTGATCCAAGATTGATACCGGAGGAGTTCGGCATGCTAAAGGGGCCGCCAACTGACAATTTGGACGGAATAGAGTATGTCGCCGTCCGCAATGCAGGCGGCCGGGCCGAGCCTGCTGTAAGAGACATAGTCATCCTAAGTACAATGACGGAGATCACCGATGTTGTGATTGTCCACCATGTCGGTAGGTAGCCTAACATCTACTGAGATGCGAGAGATTTGACGAAGCCATAGACTGTGGCATGACACACCTCAACAACAAAAGGGTTCGAGAGAGTCTCCGAACCCGAGGTCTCGGAGACGGTAGGCTCGATGCCATGGAATTTGGCGAAATTCTGGAGTATGCTATCAAACCTCGGCACAATTCTTCCATCTTTACTGACCCGTGTAACCCTCAGTTTCGAGCAGAGTGTCATTGATGACATCAAGTATCTGAAGTCTTCGCCATACATTGCCAAAACTATAAAAATACAAGGATTTGTTTTTGACATGCTGAAGTCGGGCCGGCTTCTCCGTATTGAAGAGAAGCAGACCAGCAACGGTCTACAGAGGATAGCTGTATCACAGAGCTCGGGCGACTCGTGGCGATTGTCTGTCTGTGCACTGTCAAGTGCATCGTATCGCACTCAGATTTCATGGCCACGAAAGAGAGAGAGCTCTGCCAGGTCAATTGCTCAAACGAATATCAGGCGGCTTCAACAGACCACTGCACAATGGAATTCTGAACTGCAATCCCTCCCTTAGAGAATGGTGTCAGTAATGGTTTTACTTCTCTGAGAACTACAGTCAACCAACACCAAATACCAGAGATTTGTTGCCCCTACCATTGACTGACCGTATTGCTCCGAAAGTTGCCTTCTCGGTGCTTTGTCAACGTAGCTGCCAGAGAGACTATTGATATCGATTATGTGCACACGACAGGGATTGAGACTGTTCTGGGCATGAAGTTGTGGGCGGAACACGGAGCCATTGGTTGCCCATGCAGGGTCTTTACTCTTCTACTGAGATCTGGTCATGACTCACCCGATCAGCAGAGACGTCAACAGCGGCATTTATAAGCCGGGAAAAGTTGGCCGGTTCTCCGATATTGTAGATTCAACTTGGACTGTAGATGGGCAGCTCTCGCGTCGGAACAGAGAACCTGAATTTAGTTCCAACACCAGCCAGCGTTACCTATTTTTCTGTCGTGGATTACGTGTGTCAAAGCTTGTGCCAAGCTAGAGCATATACAGAGTATGCATAGTCCATGCGGCAGGACACAGGTGAGTCATCACACTACCTGTCAGGATATTATCATTCGTGGAGTCAGCACTGTCTTTGTCAGGTTAAGTCTTAGTGGTGTAGCCATTCTGGGATGGTTCGAGCCAATTAGTAGTAACATATCGCCTTTGGGCCTATAAATAGGAAGGTTGGAACGAGATGGTGTATTGCTTTGATATTTTCAAAGGGTGCAGAAATGGCTACCTCTTCATCCACCATATTCTGTGACCTTCATGACTTCTTGAAATATGACTTCGACTACATTATTGTCGGCGGAGGGACTGCTGGACTCGTGGTGGCAGCTCGACTGACTGAAGATCCCACAATAACCGTGGGCGTTCTCGAAGCGGGCGAAGCGAGGTTGGACGATCCGAAGATCCTCACACCATTGTTGTTCCCATCGCTTCCGGGAAATCAGGACTACGACTGGATGATGAAGACAGTTTCACAGGCTGGGACTAACAACAAAATTCATGCGGTCCCCCGGGGCAAAGTATTGGGCGGGTCAAGTGCGATTAATTTCATGCTTTATGTCCGGGGCCAAAGCAGGGAATATGATGACTGGGCCAGGTTTGGTGTCGACGGGTGGCGTTGGAACGATTTAAAACCGTTTTTCGACAAGCATGAAGGCCTCGTTTTGCCAGGGGAAGGGGACAAGGTGAAGCCTACGCCAAGATTCGACGTGGGACTTCATGGTAGCAAGGGTCCCATCAGGACATCCTTCGCGGATTGGCAGCCAGCCATTGAAGTAAGCTGGCACGAGGCGCTTTCCATAGCTTTCTTGGGCGTGGACTGGGATTCACCTTCAGACTTCTGGAATGGCAAGCATCTGGGAGATCACTCTAATCTGAGTACGATTGATAGGACGAAGGGCTCAGGCACAAGAAGTTATGCTGTCACGGGGTACCTGAGTCCGATCATGAAACGAGGAAACTTGAAAATCCTTACTGGAGTATGCGCGGAAACGATAACGCTAGAGACGGGCGCTGCCTGCGGACCGACCGCGACGGGCGTCACGTTCATGGCAGAAAACGGCAGAATACATGTGAAAGCACACCGGGAAGTCTTGATATGTGCTGGCGCCATCAAGACGCCACAGATTCTCGAGCTCTCCGGCATTGGAAATCGAGCAATACTCGAGAATGCTGGCGTACGCTGTGTTGTCGAAAGTAACGATGTGGGAGAGAATCTTCAGGATCATCTCATGACCTGCATGGTCTATGAAACGAAGGATGAGGTGCCATCGCTCGATGTGCTGACCGACGACCAGCATCTGAAAGAAGCAATTGACCAGTACCAAACGGCAAAGCCTGGACCACTGGGAAACAGTGTTGACGCCATCTGCTTCCTTCCTGTGGCCAAAGTCGCAACGAAAGAAGAGATAGAGCTGCTGAAAAGTGCAAATATGAGAGGTGAAGCCAGAGTCAAGGGCCCATCGTCTGAAGTACGCAGGGTCTTGTCAGAAAGGCTCGAAGATCAAGATGCTGCTGGCTTGCAGCTTTCATTTCTTGGAGTCTCCCTCGACCCCAGCCGCATGGACGATCAAACAAAATTTCTAGCTCCAGCATCTTCAGGTCAAAGCCGGGTGACTGTCGGTGTTGCGCTATGTCATCCTTTCTCTCGGGGATCTGTTCACATTGACACTAGTGACCCATCACAACCACCACGTATCGATCCAGCGTATCTGCAAGATCCAGTGGACCTGGAAGTGACTTCAATTGGTCTTCGTGCAGCAGATGAGGTGTTCAGAACAAGTCCGTTGGCTGAACAAATCAAAGGTCGTGTTTTTCCTTCCCAGAATATCGATCTGGGCGATGCAGAGAATCGTGCGAGCTATATCAGAGAGCACGCTGGAACTCAATATCACCCTATTGGCACAGCTGCACTTGGATCAGTGGTCAGTGACTCGCTCAGAGTCATCGGCGTGGACCGTCTCAGGGTCATTGACGCCAGCATACTGCCGCTCCATATCTCGGGAAACATACAGGCGACGGTCTACGCCATTGCGGAGAAGGCTGCAGATATCATCAAGGAGAGTATCTGATCATTGATGGTTTCACGAGCCCTACTCTGCTGTAGACCTGGAATCACTCCGGGTCGCATCATTCCCAAGTGTCTCCGCGAGGGCGCTTAAGTCTTAATTCGACTAGGTGCATTGATGATTGCAGACTCATAATTACTCGAGATAAGAAAATCAGATTGAAAATGTTCAGCAGATCTTTCAGATCACAGAGGCAGGCTCAAGATCCTCAGTGTCCAGCCGCATGGTTTAATGGGCAGAGATTGTGTTAATATTTGAATATCAAGATGCAGGTTGACGTAACAAGCCCAAACCCCGGCTGTCCACCTGTGGCACCACAGATTCCTTCACCGTGAGCGGGAGTGGAAAATATCCTGACAGGAGAGACAGAATGTCAGATCTGTTGGGCGTAAAACGGAAAACCAAATTCCGACAAAAACGATTGGCTTGTCTTACCCGCACAAACACTCTGTAGGTAGAACACCACATGAATCTTGCAAATGTAGCTGGGCCATGCAAACTTATGCCAAAAGCTGATGCCACACTCTACTTAGACTACTCCATTGTGCGACTACTTCGGCGGCAATGAACCGCGCAAAAAAAGCCTTTACGGCTTCAAGAAAAAGTTACAGGTTACAAGATTGTCGTTGCTGTTCGTGCCGAGGAAGTGGGGCCGGCGCAACTGCTTTACACACTAGAACCTGAACTATTAGCGGCAGTCCTACTTCCGACCGCAGGTGCCAGCAAGGATGTCGCTTTTCTCAAATCAAAGTTGGCGGAGATCTCAGATACTGTACAGGTTTCAAGCGATTCGTCGGGACTACATCACCAGTAAATAGGAACTGTAAACCTATCTTCGCATATCTACTTCTCGCATAGTAGGAAGAATAGGAGGAACGAGGTCCGTCGTGTCCGTGAACACCTGGTGTCTGAAATTGACGCGCACTTTTGTGCCACGAAATTGTGGAAAAGCACATGCGGAACGAATTCCTGTATTTGTGCAAAGAGTGGTACCAGGCACTCAAGCCCAACGCGGCAACGACCAACAGCTATTCGCATACAGCGTGAATGTTGTCAAATCCTACAAGGAATCATGGCAGGAGTGGAATGCCGGCAGCGCCAAATTCCAACTCTAGAGTCAGACGCTGGAGAGGGTTCTCCCTCAACTCCAATGCGACGCTCGCTTCACTATCGACTATTCCTCCGAATCTTTTACTGTCCTATGATTTGATAACCACTTCAAAACGGCAACAGTGAGTGTCCGTTCAGCATCGCATGATTGAATAGGCAAGACGGGAAATTGTAACTGTATCTCCCACCTAACCATCTCTTTTGGTTCCGTGGCAATGACCTCACAACCAACCTCGAATCATGTCTAGTGATCACGAGCCTACCTTCATGATGCAATGCACCCGCTGTTAATGGCCAAGGAGTCCCTTTCCGTGGATTTATACCCTCATAACGAACAAACAAACCAATGTCAAAAATCGCGATCTTCTGCCTGCCCGGCCACTTTCCCTCCACATATCCACGATCATATGCGACCATCAAACCATTGGCGCCCGCTATCCCAGCTCGCGCATCCGGATGACCGTTTGAGGACTTGCAGCGAACGACTTTGTAGCGTGCGATAGCATGATGTAGAATGGTCTCTCAACGGGGTTTTGCGATAGTGTCGTCTTGGCGGCTACGGCTCGGGCACTAGCCTTGGCAGGCGCAGCGGGGTTGCCAAGGTTGCTGCCTGTATTTCTTTCTCTGCATGTCCTGACTACAAAGCCTTTCCCTGATGTTATTCGAGACACTGTAAAACAATAATTGCAGTATGGCACTATCCCCCACTGCAAATGACGCTATCCTGGAAAGGGCAGCTGTCGGACTGTGCTATTCTTCAGGGCCTTAACAACGAAGATGACGCTCGCCTCACATCTACCACACTTTTCAAATGCTCCGCCATCAACAGCTCGCCCTGATAGGCTGATACTTGGCTAGAATGTATCTGTGGATTCGATAGATTGCGGCCATACCCGTTGGGAAGAGGAAAACATCTATGACGGTTGGACGGTTCTCCGTTGTCAAGGGGTGGTGATTGACGATGCTTATGATGCGCTCTCGAAGAGCGTCGTGGATAGTGTTTGCAGAACCTTCCGCAGACGTCAGCTCAGAGGCGATCTTGGAGTCGACCTCCTTGAAAGTGTCGATGCTTTTCAGAGCCTCCTGTGCCTGGCGAGTCGAAATGCCGGCACCTGTATTGACCCAATACATGGCCCTCCGTGGGGCACCCTTAGCATTCATGAAGACGACCCAGAGTCGCTGACGACCGATGTCAAAGGTTCGTGTGGTCAACGAGTCGCGTGAAACCGCCATGTCCTTACGGTCTGGCGAGGTGACTTATTCCACGAGGGCAGCAGTAGAGCTTGGATGAGTGAAGACTCTGCATGCCTGACCTTCACTGCCAGCTCGCTGTACTATTTCACCTGCCAGCTGTACAACGTATTTCTGGGGCATGACACGAGGATACCTGATCACTTTTAGTTGCCATTGGCAGCCCGATCAGTCACGAATCCTCGTACATATTGGCCAATTCACGAAACAAAGTCGGGTCTCGTGCAATGAATCAAAAGGTGCTCCCATTTTGGAACTTGGCAATGGTCAGTGACACGATACGGCAAGCGACGACCTCATGGCAGGAAACATACAATTAGTCTTCAAGCCATTCCAGAATTGTTCGTGCATCGTTCCCCGACTCGCGCAGGGACTTATTGAATAAAGCACAAAATGCCGAGGTGAAGCAACAGGACAGCTTGGTTAAGAGTGTACAGCAATGGCGTATTGTTGTAATGTCCGACTATACTAGTGGGGGGTCAATCGTAAGGGAGGCGAGAAATTGACCTGGAAACCGCGAAAAAAGATTGATGACCTGAACATGGTCCTGCTGACTGAGCAAGGCCTGGAGCTAGCCTTACGGTCATCTGCAGCGATATTTGAAAACCAGGTTCGAATCGTGCCTTACAACGGTGGTCATCAGTTCGTCCAGCGAACGTTTGCCAGAAGTCGCATGGTGTCTTGAAATACATACTCAGGCGAAAACACGGTACAGTCTAAGGAGATCAAGCGCACAAATATAAAGTTTGCTCAACGATCGAAAGACTAGCATACATGTATGGGTGTTTTGGTTTTCTTTTATATGATTTCTTGCCCAGATCTTTGCCCTATTCAGGACCGAACGAGTGATACTGGGCGTACCACAAGCTTTCTGTCGACTGGTGTGCCATCCAATTTGGTGACTGATTTTCACGATAACACCTGGAATTCTTCCAGCCTCTAGCCGGAGACCTTGGCCTGTTTGCAGAGAACTGAGTCGGTTGCCGCTTCGACTAACCCTGCGACAAAGTTTACTTCCACCAGCTGAGAAAGAGCTGCGATCAGCCCAGCTTCACGATGTCGAATTGTTCCAAAATCGAGAGCAATGAAATTGGTATCACAGGTCTTCTCGTCAATTATTGCCTTTTACTGGCTCATTCTGCTGTCACACAATCTTCAATAAACTTTAGTTTGAGTCCTCCATTCTTCAGCTGAAAACCTGAGGGTGTGAAAATTCCTCCGATGAGATTGACAGGTATCATGAGAACATGCCGCATTCCAGACTTCAGGTTAAACTTGGGAATGTGCTCATAAATACTGCAGCAGGGTGGCGACAGGACGGTATGCCCTAATAAGAGGCCAGTCTCTCCATGACTGTCAAAGAAGCGACACCCGGAAAACAGGCCCTCCCACTGGGGGGCCTCAACTCTCATAAGTCTTCGCAGAGGCTTGAGCAAATTGCGCGACTCCGTGCTCGTGGCGTGGGAGAGCACTTCGAAAATCTGGGGGAACATGAACACACGTTGCCTATAACACTGCCCCATGCAATGAACGTCATGCTTGGCCATAACGACGGAGCATTGGCGGCGCAGTGCTGAGAAAGATCGTAAAATGTCACACCAGGTTCCACCACAACATATCCATGATCCTCATTGACCTCGAGAATTTGGTCCATTCGATGGAGCGACAAAACCGCCGAGCCTTGTAGCTGGGGGGCCGGACCACCATAGCCCAAGTTCTTACCACCTGAGGTGGTCCATACTGGTAGATTATACTCGTTGGCAACAAAAATTACTCGTTGTATCTCCTCCACATTTCCAGGGCTCGTCATAGTTAGCATTGGACAGTAAATATCTTAAGAGACAGAATATCGTACCATATAGCGACTGAAGGGATGTGCTGGTCTCTGGCTGAAAAAGGGTCGCAAAAATTTCGCAGCCTTGATCCTGTGTGAATATTGCTGATGCCAACTATTGAAGCCATCCGTACTAGCATAGCGTCAAACATGCCCTTGTTGATGCCCGCCGGTAAAACTGGTGGTGGTGATTCGCATCGGCCATGGAGGTAGACTTCCTCGTGAGCAGCTTGGAGGTCCTTGGTCGAATAAAGCACTATAGGTTCCATTCTGCTCATTTGAATTGGTCGTGTTCAGTATATCGAGCTTGTCCGCTGTCTTAGAGAAGTAGAGGGTTCTAAATGTGTCCTGCTTTGATGAGATAGTAAGAGCAATGAAGCAAGTCGATGCGAATGCCGCGCTGCAATACACACAACTACGATAATTTTCGACTTTAGGCACGAAAGTCAAGCTTTATACAGTTACGAAACGGGCCTCCGAATTTGACGAATCCAGACTGAGCTGCCAGTTTTGCCTTTTATCAATGGCTCTTTCCGTACTCCCGAATTTGGGGTTCGAAATGGCACCCCCAAGTTCTTCCTCGATACTCCTCATTGCCCTTCGCTCTCTCCACACGTACAACTACCCCACTAACTCTGAACAGACCTCTACAACTTCCCTTAGGCGAATTATGCATTCACCGCCCACCTTCCTAATTCTCGCAAAGGTCGTCGACGGACAGTGCAGAGCTCTATGGAGTTCGCATCATTGATGTTGTGAAATCCCACCAAATGGCTATGAATGCGACAGACCACACGTAGAGATATGTATCTGCCTGTATGGTAGAATTTGATTGCAACACTCGTTCATGCTTAATTTCAAGACACTGGTACCTTGTTGTCCACACCACTAGGTTCCTGAGCAAGGGCATCTCAACCAGCATGCGTTCCTTGAACTTGATGCAAATTCTCTTGGAGATGGCGCCGAGGTTTGCATTGGGTTTGGGGTGCTTGCCAAGTCTTTCTGGGGAAGGTCACCACAAACCTGAACCAGGAATTCCCCAGGAAAGGCCAGAATAGGTAGGTGGGATACATGTGGGATGTTGCTCATGACGCGCACCCAGGACGCTTAATCTGACTCACTATGTGGTGCAGGCTTCTAGACCCTTGGCCCCCCGCACGGGGCACTTTTGCTACACAGTTGGTGTTCTTGGATCTTGCAAATATCATGAGAAAATGGGTTTTGGGGGGGGGAAATATCACGAAGTCCGGGCACATGAGTGGCATAGGCCACAAGGTGTGGGTCGAATTTGAGCTTCCTTCTCCCAAGTGTGAGATAAACTATCGCTACAGCGAACCGACATATGTTAACCCTTAAGATCTCAGAATCGTCGCTTTGATACCGATAGAATGATGATCCCGCCCCGGCGCCAGGTCCTCCGCATTCTTCCCCCAGCCCAGCTTCTATAAGCTGATCATGCTTAGGTGATACGGCAGCTTTTGCGTCTCGAGATAAGTTATAGGCCTTGTGAGACAGTTTTGCTCATAGAAGTCGTCAACCTCTTGCTGAAGTTTTTTGTACACCTCAGGTCTGGAGCAGATCGCCTGTAGACATGCCCTAATAATTAAGCAACGTTCAATTTTTGTGCCCTTGCTGCCCTTCCATCGTAGCTTATCTTCGCCTGATTATGCATTTCAAGACACTGTGCGGCTTTTGGCAGACACTCGCCCGACAGGCCGATGACCAGCAGCGTGAACACACCATTCGAACCTGGTTTTCAGAGTGTGCCTCAGACAATACAGAGAACGAATGTGATTTGTTGGCTCTGTCATCGTGCCTATTTCCTCATCGACGGCGCGATCGAGTGTACGCCTTACGTGAGAAGTCACTAGCGGACAACGCCATTCGTGCGTGGTCAGTCGGCCACAGTCATGCTCGACGCCTGCGTGAATGGCAATCAAGCCACGATGCTCCGGACTTCGCTGCTACTGTCCGAGAACTAGTGGAGGAGGGAGGCGAAGTTTCACACGTGCGTGGTCCACCCACATTAGAAGAGGTCGATCATATGCTGGATCATCTGGCATCTGGCTGCCCTTTCTTGTCGCCAAAGATTCGAGCCTCGTTTCAACATGAAGATTACAGCACACACCAGAGGCTCATCAACATGCTGCAACGGATGAGTGGCTTGGAAGCAGAGTGGATGTGCCGATTGATTTTGGGCAATCTTGGTTAAGTCCAATTGCCTGAAGAGTTGGTGATGAATCTACTCTATCCTGCTCTCCAGGCCGCTCTCCAAGTACATGATGGTCTCCCTGACGCTGTGGCGCTGATAATGACTCCACATAGAGACGGAGAGTCAGGTCTGCCACACCAGCATAGGTCGGAATGGCGACCACAGTTGGGCACTCCCATCCGCCGTCCGACTTTTGAAAAAGCCCGAAGCATCCAGCCTTGTCGTCAACTGCTCGGGCGACAACTGGTCTGTGTCGAGCAAAAGTATGATTGAGAATACTGTCAGATCCATGTTAGCCTCCTGCCGGCAGGGGAAACAGATATAAAGATCTTCTCCAAGAGTGGACGGGACTCGACAGCAGACCGTATAGCACTAATCCCTACAATCCATCGGTGTCTTAACATCAGAAACCAGGACTGCCAACTCAGCACGGGATGTGTACTGCTTGGTGAGCTGGTGGTCTGGAATGATGCGTGACGGGACATCATGCCCTTCTACAAAATCCGCCGGTATGTTCCACGGGCTGGTCGTCGTCTTGGCTGCGCACGCGACTCACCTCCTCTGCCTGAGGAGCATCTGATGATCGTGTTCTTCGATTGTTTGCTGCTTGATAATGTCGATTGCATATTCGAATCGTATGTGCAACGACGAAAGCGCCTGGCACAGGTTGTGGCCACCAGCACAGACGTCAAAGTGGTTTGTGCTCTGCCGAGATATGACAGGTCATTCAGTGGCACACGTCAAACTGAACGCCGGGGCCACACGCGACTCTGGTTGCCCGCCATGATCGCGAAGATGCGGTGAGACAAGTCAAAACAGCACGCATTGTTACATTTCATTGCCAGCTGACATCTTGATGCATCTGCGCGTTCGGTGGATCAGTTGCACCATTGACTGAGTCGTTACTGCGTGGCCTCACACGGGGATTTCATCGTAATTGTCAGCCTAGCATGGTCGTTTGAGATAGAATAGCTAGAGTATTTAAGTATTCGTGTCTGACATACCTCTTGGTGGACAGACTCGCTACTCCAGCAATCGTCTGCAGGGGACTCAGACATCCGGCGCAAAGTACCACAAAGAAGCCTCCAGATAGGCTCTGTGACAAGATTTGTTTGCGCTTGATAACGAACCTGATTGGCGGAATTCATCTTACTCAGCGCTCTCCTTGCTCTCGTCTCCACGCTGGCGGGGTTCATCCTAGCGCCCACTTCCGCCTGCAAAATTTGAGCAAAGAACTAGGCGGTGACAATTTGCATCTTCCTTACATCTGCGTCATGCTCAATTTCAAGCCCGATTCCCGTAGTACTTTAAGGCTTCATGAACTCACGCTTTATAGAGCCGTCTGTCTGGAACAAATTGCCAGTGCCCGTGTGTTGTCGCGAGAGCTCTCCTTCGGAGAATGTCGTGATCCTCCCGGGCCGCAGCGAGACTGCCAACGAACCCCATTGCTGATATGCGACCGTATAGAAGGGAAAAGCACATTCAGTTCGCATCACTGGAGTGCTGGCAGCACCGAGCATGAGCAGCCTGAGTGGAACGCAGGTGCAGTTGCCCCTGCTGGACAGGAGGAAGCAAAATCCTACAATCGGGTCTTCGTCCGGGAGAGCTCTGTCCAGTATGTACCGCGACTAGAGCGCAATGAGGATGCAGACGGTTGGAAAGGATGCATTGATGACGGTCACCTGGAGAAGGTCATGGAAGGTGGGTCCCCTGGCTGTGGTCGGTGACCACCTCTTCTCGTGCATCAGCCTCAGGTATTTCGATTATGCCGCCAACGTAATATGGAGGAGACAGAACTCAGCCTCTTCTCAGGGCTGTTCTCTCCCCAGCCGGCCGATTTGCGAAGCAGCGTGCCGCAGGGGATTGTACCACGCCTGCGGGAGGGACAAACGCCGCGTGTCCCACCTGTGATCGAATCGCAATTGTCCACACCCGGTGAATCACCCACCACAACCCCGGGACGCACGCGGTTTCGCAACAGCGCATTAGTCCTCAGACGCTACGGCGACCTTGAGAGTGACTTCTCTAGAATGTTAGAGCTGGAGAGACTGGGTAGCAGCCCTGGTTTGTGGCAGTCCGAAGTGACGACCTTATCAACCTTCCTGAACACAAGCATGCTGGCTGACCTCAGAATCATCATTTACTGTTTCTGGTTGAGTTAGTTGTGTTCAGGGCCAAGACACTACGGGAGATGCTTAGCCAACCGCTTCATGCAGTCGATCAGTAACACAAGAAAAGCTGAGCAATCTCGACCGCTTTCGTATCTTGCCAGCATCGGCACTTCCGCCCTTGTACCGGCGTCCCGCAGCCGCACTATCTTATCATGGGAAGTGACGGCAGCCACGACCCTTTGCGCGAGAAGGCCACGGCGTTGACCACGGCCCTCCAAGTTCGCGAGGACGAATCGTTGTGCGTCCTCAGAATTTCTCGCAGAGTTGTCGAACCTTGGCCTGAAAGAACAATAAGCATTACTTCATAACACAAAACAGGAGCTGACATAGTGTAATCGAGAATACTCATCAAGCTTTTTCCTAGACCTATGTAGTCTGCGACTATCAGGATTTTTGCACGTCCAATGCTGCTGTAATTCTTGCGGCAGATCTGGTGTCGTCAGGATCATCACACCCCCGTCGTCGGCCGAGTCGTACAAGCGCGAGGTCGGCACAAGGGGTGTTGGAGGTAAGTACAACTGCTGCCGGTGGCACTGTACTGTCCCAGTGTGTGAAGGTCAACAGTGAAAAAGCACCGAGGTCTTATGTATGAAATTCCGCCGGCACACGATACACTGAGCCTCGACACTTTCTCTCATTGGTTCAAAGCCATGTACTGTGTATATGGGTCGACGTTGCTAGACAGGGCTAGGTTATCCCATAACGGTTTCTCAAGCCAGCGATAAGGCTGGATGGAGAAATAGCCAATCACGTTGCATAATCTGAGATATGAATGGCTGGAGTGATTTCGCCCTAATTTCGTGGTGTTCAGTTACGTATCCCACATCCGAAACGCGGGGACTCCAGGTTCCTGATGACCGTAACCGTGGTATATATAAGACCTGTTCGTTGACCAAGCCAGGCATGAAACGCTACCCTCTACAGCGGCGCTGTCACCGGAGTCCATCGCACCATCGTTATGGCGGTGACACGATCAGTTCTCGTGGTAGCCTTGGCGATTACCGTACTACTGGGCTTGAGAAGACTGCTCCGAATCGGTAAAAGGGCCTCAGGGCTGCCACCAGGTCCTCCAACGATACCTATCCTAGGTAATCTACACTTGGTGAGGACATTGATACTCTTATTGCGAAGACCATCTGACATGTGTACCAGGTCCCAGCCAGAGATGCTCATCTACAGTTCCAGAAATGGGCGCAAGAATACGGGTAAGGCTGAGGAGATTGGAGTAACATCAGACACCATCGGCTGACCAAGGAAAAGTCCAATCTACTCGCTTATGCTGGGAACGAAGACCTTCATCGTACTGTCCTCGGATACAGCAGTAAAGGATCTGTTGGACAGAAGAAGTAACATCTATTCATCACGTCCCGACATGTTCATCGGTATGGATCTAGCCAGTGGTGGGCTCAGAATACTGTTGATGGTTCGTACCTCCCTTGCTACAGGAATAGATGACAAGCAGCTAAAAGTCATGCGCAGAAATACGGCTCCACATGGCGAATGATCCATAAGATGATCCACAATATCCTGAACATCAAGGCCGCAGTAACGTACGTGCCTTATCAAGACCTTGAGAACAAGTTCATGCTTCAAGGCCTGCTCGATCAGCCGGCCGAGTTTGCGAACCACATCAGGCGCTACACCAATTCTCTCACGACCCAAATGGTCTTCGGTTTCCGAACCTTGAGTATTAACGATCCTAAGTTGCAACAGTTGTTCAGAGCAAGTTCATGTACTTTTGGTCAGGGCTGACCACTGTCCTCGACTAGCTAACAGCTTCCCAGGGATTCGAGCATTGGGGTGAAGTCGCCGGAAGTGCAGCAGCCCAGATCCTTGATCTATTTCCTGCTCTGCAACGTCTTCCCAGCTACCTCGTCCCGAACTATCGTCATGCCCAGAGACTACACAAGAAGGAGAAACAATTGTATATGGGTCACTGGCTCAAGGCCAAGACAGGAATTCGAAACGGGACTGTTATGGTGAGTGATCACAACAATCCGCGCAAGGTACATCGATTAATTTAGTCACTCGTTAGCCCTGTTTCTGTGTCGATCTAATGAAGGCGCAAGAGAAAGAGGGATTCTCCGACGACCTGGCTGGATATACGAGTGGGTCCTTGTTGGAAGCCGGATCCGACACCACTGCTGCTACCCTGATTGGCTTCGTTCAAGCCATGACAGTCTTTCCCGAGGTACAAAAGAAAGCACAGGAAGAAATCGATAGGATCGTCGGCAATGGACGAATGCCTACGATGGAAGACGCGTCGAACATGCCCTACATCCGTGGTTGCGTTAAAGAGAGTCTAAGATGGATGCCAACGAACATACTTGGAGTGCCCCATTCACTAATCAGAGACGACGAGTATATGGGCTACAAGATTCCCGAGGGAGCTAGCGTGATCATGAACGTCTGGTAAGACAGCATTCCAGGAGTGCTGAAGATCACAAAGACTGACTTGCATCATCATAGGACAATTCATATGAACGCGGAAAACTTTCCAGACCCTCGAAAATTCGATCCAGACCGCTTCAAGGACGACGAACTCAGTCTCTTTGAATCCGCCACGACTTCCGACCCACAAAAGCTAATGACGCGATCATTCGTTTTCGGCGCCGGTCGACGTTTATGTCAGGGCATGCACATCGCTGAGCGATCACTGTTCCTCGCCATGGCGCGGATGCTCTGGGCATTCAGCTTCACCAAGGCCGTCGATGGACATGGCAAGCCAATCACACCAGACATCAACGACCTCACGCAGGGTTTATTCGTTCTTCCGGCTCCGTTCCAGAGCATTATTGAACCACGAAGCGGAAAGCATGCTGAGATGATTCGGCAGGCCTGGGGTGAGAGCAAAGACACCTTGCTTCATCCTGAGACTGGGCAGTGGATTAAGGTCCCGGACGGAATGCTGTTCTCGACGTACGAGCCGTCCAAGGATATCACGATGAATGAAATGTAGTTCGGCTCAGGGTCAGCATAACGTGACAATACTGTACGTCCTAGTGTGTACGAGGAGATAACACTTCTGAATATGCTGACTACCTCGGATACCTGGATTTCTGGACTTTCCCAAAGGCAAAAGTTTGTAGATGTTCTATCGAGATGTTCTTGCGGAAATGTTATCTGGTTCGGATACCTAGGTTACATAGTGAGAAATTAGTCATTCCTACAGGGAACATGGAGCCACCACTCTCACAGGCGAAATTCGAGCGATGGGCAGCCAAGAATGTAGTGCATCAGCTCCAATGGATCCTGAGCGTTCCGCCACTGCATTACTCTTCGTAGGCGTAACTATTCTCAGGCTTCAGCTTCGTTTCTCCAAAATTCGTTTGAATCGTTTCACAGATCTGGCGGTGTCTCATGCTCCATTGAGCTTCTATCATCCAGGGAATGGGATGCGATGTTTCCGTTTACTTTCGAGCACCAACGAACTTCTTCACAGCCTCAGCAACCGTTGCAGGCTCATCTTCAAGCATGAGATGGCCGGCCCCTTGAATCCACACCCTTTTTTTCTGCTCGGTGCCCAGAACCCGAAACAACTCTGCATCAATACACTGTTGACTCACGGTCCGTCCGTCCCCGTCGACACCAGAGTCGGCACCTTAATTTTCGCGGCCTCTTCTGGTGGAAACGCGGGCATAGCTCCAGAGCGGAAAAAATTGTGCAACCATGCTGCATTGTCCTTCATCTGTTGCTTCCTCTGCGGATTATCATCAGTGGACCTCTTCCAGAACCGCGCGGCCAACACGCCCTTGCCGAAAATGTTGACTGTGCGTTCCGGGTCGTCGTACTGCTGCGCGCACGCCATCGCGGGCCCAATAGTCGTGGCACCGTAGTATGACACAGGGAAGAATGAGATCGGGTGTTTCATGAGAAATTTCAGTGCGTCCAGCGGTCTTGGCGGCAGGGTCGGGTAGAACAGCGTGATGATGCGAGGGTCTTCGAGTAGCAGCGTACGGAATAGGTGCGGGTGCGTTTTCTCTGCCCATGCGATCGAGAAGACGCCCGAGCTGTTGCCCAAAGCGTGGCACGGATGCAGAACTTTAGAGATTAGCGTTTCTCCGAATTATCGGTACGCTCCTCGACACCTTCGCACTTTTGCGCTTGGCGTCCCTCTCTTTCCCGTTGACTGAGCCCAACGACCCTTCGGAAAGCGCTCAGCCTTTGTCTGTCCTGGCAGCAGTCAGCCACTAACATATCATCTGATGGGCGATCAAACCGACCTCGACGTGATTCTGACATCGGAATGAGCTCTCTGCACGCCTTGATCGTGCATCTCAGCATGAGCTCTGCCAATCAAGTTCATTACATCCGTCCAGCTCCCTTCTGAAATTCAGTGAGTTGTCTGTCGTACGGAGCTGCCTTAGAATGATAAGAAAACCCACCGATCGTCGTGCCGGTATCGTGAACCGTATACTGCAGGCCGCTCTCCTTCACGAGGGTCTCAATTTTGTCGATATAAGTGGAAATTGATGGGGATACAGTCCCGATCTAGCTCCGCTGGGTCAGTCACTGTCTTTCTCCGTTGACCTGAGATTAGTTGCCCACTCACAGGGTGAATACAGAAGTCTGCCTTACACCTGGCTGGAATGGAGGACTGTGCAACAGCCATAGCTTTGCTACGTGTAGGTGTGTAGGTCTGTAGCTGAAGTCGTAGGAGGGTTGGAATCGGGGGGAGTTTGAAGAGGAATAAAGTTCGGAAACCCATCTTGACGTACTCAAGACTTAAGTAGCTGGAGTGATACTGGTTGGCCTCGGCCGGAAAGGGTATCCGGAAGAACAAAAGGATCCCCGCCACCTGGCCACAGATCGACGATTCGCAACCACCTGCATCATATGCTTTTCGAACATGGGCGGTGACAATTGTAAGCAAACAATCGTAACTCCTAGCACTCGGTGAAGGAAGAGGAGATGTTGGGAACTTCATAACTTAACAGAACGTATTTCACATAAGGTGTGTTGAGTGTCGGAGCATGTGAAACGGGCGTCGGTAAAGAAATGTCGCGCTGCTGAGGTGGAAGCTGCTGTGATCCGGCCGAGCTTTTCGTCTTCGTTGCGACATATTTAATGGCTTCACCAATGCTTCCGCTCCGCTTGCAGAAAACTTGGGAAGCTCTTCTTGCGGGTTATCGAGCTAGGCTATGATTCGGGGTCCACGGCGGTGGGGTTGGGGTTGTTCGCGGCAGAACTAGGTACGGTAGCCAGTGCTGTAACGCTGAGTGGTCTCGACGTAGTTGGCGACATTGAGGGTCGCGAAGATTGACGAGACGGATGAGGGCGTGAGCGAGGAGCCCTTCCAACGAATTTCAGGGTGTAAATTTGGCTGTCATCAGACTATTCGAGAACACGGAAAGATCTTGAGATTGGAAAGGCCACGTAAGTCATCCCATCCTAATCACGTCGATACGTATGAGCGTAACCATAAAGACGCCGTCGGACCATGTCTGAAATATAGTCAGGCGCGGCGAGACGTTCTTGACTGCTGGGCTCAGCCTCTATATGTCTCTCTTGAGGCCTTTGTCCTATTCACTTTCACATTTGGCTACCATGGCCTCACTCGTCCCACGGGCAGTATATCGCAGCTGTAGACTCTTGGTTGGCGGGCAGATATATTTGGCGTTTCTCTGCCTTAACGACACATCGACGTCCCTGCGCTCGTTCGCACTAGCCATGCTTGCGATCGCTGTCGGGAGTTGCGGGCCAAATGTCCAGGCAACATGCGCAGCGCGGAGTGCGCTAACGGCCGCAAAAGTGACAAAGCACGTCTCAAGGCCATCCAGAAGAGCTGGGAACAACTGAGTTGACCTCTATTCAGACACTTTGTAAGGGAACGAGCGTTTTTAAAGGGCGACTCTTGCTCTGACTTAATCATCGTCATTTTTCTAGGCGGAAGTTCTGCCGTGCGGCTGCGCCGATCTGACAGGGCCCGGAGATCACGGAAACGACTCTTAACCGGGGAATGTGGATGTTTTGCATATTGACGGCAGAGGGGTCCAACTAACAATAATCGACGGCTAGAAGGATTCCAGGGTGCCGGGGCTGCCGCATCGTACAGAAGGGTTTTCTCTCAGGTGGTCTTGAGGTAGATTGCGAAAGCTGGACTTTGGTAGAGTCATTGCGGTGTTGTTGATGGGGGTGGAAAACCGAACAAGTTGGCGGGGATACCGTCCTCAAAGCAGTCGCTGGGATCAAGGTTTATAGTAAGCGGATTGGAAGAAGAGGCTGGGTTGATGTGCAGTTGATTGTCGGGGATAGGCCCAGCGTTTTGGTCGGCGGGGATGCTAAGGATGTTAGCAGGGCTGCTGAGCTTGCACCCTTGCGTCTCCTGTTGCAATTGCATCATGGAGGCCATCTTGGCTTGGTTATACCGGTCGAAGTCGAAGAAGGCGTTTTCACTTGTTCTAGCCTGTGACTGCGTCGAATCGGCAAGCAGAGATGGTTGGGGCATCGATATGCGTTGTGAATGTCCTACCACCGCGAAGAACTGAGTGCACATGTCACCGGCAACCATAGGTGATGCGCTTCGCGAGATATCCTTGGTGGGGGCCATGGCCTGCGACTGACAAGTTGCGGTGCTGGCCTTAAAAAGGTTCCTAGATAGGCGATGCCGGCCTTGGGGCTCGGAGCCTATCGACTCAGAAAGAGGAGCGGCTACTGACAGAGGATTCTGGGAGTGGCGACCTGGCAATCTCTTCTTGTGACGTTGCACTAGTTCAAGGGCTTCGAGGATGTCAGTTGTCGACACTTCATCCTCTTCTGTCTCGAGCAGGTCACCCGGAAAGCACTGATGTTCGACCGTTGCATTATAAAGGCGGCGAAGACCCTCTTCTAATATCTCCGTTTTTCGAAGGAGGCTAATTAGGTCAGCTCCTGATGGCAAGGATAGAGCTGCCACGTGTAACGCACTGATTCCTGCCATCCCTAGTCTTCCTGGCTGTGTAAACGCACTCGAAATCTACGCATGTCTTGCACGGATGTTTCCCATCGCACTAGAACACCAGTCCAGTGTCCACAGATACGCAACCGCAAGACCATTGATATGGATCTGCGCAAATTTCTGTTGCGTTGACAGATATGCCAGAGCATGGGGTAAAGTCTAGACACCAGAGACCTTGCCCTTCACACTTGCATCACTTTTGACACCAGTCAATATTCAGCTGCTCCCCATAATTGTAGCATCCAATGAATTGAACGCAACCCTCGTTCCCTAAGCATTAGATATGGACCGCTGAGAGGTCTCAGCATGTAGTGAGGCTTAACCAGAGAGTAGATAAGAACAAGAGAAGAGGCGAGTGTGTTTCTAGTAGGTAGGTTAGTGAGAGATTAACTCTCTTATATGTCAAGAATCTATAATAAGATGTAGCTTCTATCAGGCATATAGCTGCCTTCTTAGCTAGTATACAGCTGTCCTACTAATATTCATGGAGACTAGAATGAAGTGTAAGTAGTGTAGCTCCTATATAATAAGATATAGCTTATTATATATAAGTGTGTAGGTATACAGACCTACTGAAAGCTATAGTAACAATTATAACAATATAAGCCCCTATACTATAGGGCTTAGAGTAGGGCCTATTGTAGGCATATATATCTATCTTCTAGTCTGTTGTTAGGAATATAAATGTAGGGTCTACTCTTGGGTTATCATGGTAGTGGTTTAAGTGAACATAACCTTGGCAAGGTTATCCAGGACATTCTTCCACCCAAGGCTGAATTGTAGAATCTGCTTGATTGTCTAGAAAGGCTTATATTAGAGGTATATGATGAAGCAGCACCTTCTTAGGTCCTAGGTATAACTGAATTGGTGAAGTGTTTAAGATCCTACTGTAAATTTGATCTACTAATTAAAGCATACTATACTAGAGGTGAGGGCTTTATTAGGCGCAAAAGAGTGTGAACAAAAGTGCAATAGGTAATCTCTATCTTCTAGGAAACTTACAATCTTGGCATTAGCTGGGCAGCGTTTATAACTTTGGATCACAACAGCACCATCTGAACACAGCTCTTGTAATGTTGCAGACGATCAAGTGTGCTGCATGCGCTTTCTATCATTGAAAGCTATCCAGACAGTGGATCTTGATCATATAGGCGCCTTAAACATGGCATCAGGACGCAGTTAATATCGTTATACTTGGTAAGTTAAGGCTCACTCCTCGCCTTGGTCTATGTGATTCTTGACAACCTTAGCATAGGACTGCCTTGACATAAAGGTCGACAATTGCCCTGGCTACAACTGCTTCCTAACAAATTGTACAGCTTCAGCTATGGCTGAAGTACTTCAATTTCTATATTTGTTTCTAAATTTAATTAGTATTGTCTTAAAAGTTCTGCTCATCCTCCTTCTAATAGTTACTATATGTGGATCACAGCTCATTCATCTAAAGCTATAACAACGGATCAAAGCTGCGGCAGTAGCATCAAGTAAGTTCTTACAAATCAGGATACATAAAGGCGAGGTCACTGATCTGGCCTAGACAAAGACCATGCCTCTCGAGCTGGCGACAAGAGGGAATACAATGGGAAGACTTAGTAGATCTATATACTTTGAGGTGATGCGGCGGCCTGTTCCATAGCAGCCCACAGAAAACCGCATACCTAAGTTAGGAGGGATTGCACAGTCATTGCAGGTAGCCTCGACGAACAGTGGGTGAGTTGAGTTGGGATTTAATTGGCCAATCAGCATTTATGAAGAGTACTGTACTGTACTTCTGACTCCGCAAGTTTGCTCTAACGGCTTGTTGCGCATCGCAAGAATGAGGCCGAACTCGCCATTCATTTGTATAGTAATCTAGCTCCAGAAAGATCCTTCCCTTTGCCTCGGAATCCTGCAGCCACGCCAAGGACGCCTACCAGTCAAGCATTGGCTTAGCCGGTACGTCGCTACAAAGCTATCATGTAACCATGCGATGCTTGTAGTCCTCATAGCTCCAATAAGACGTTGAGTCAATCTTTGGCGTCTTTGTGCCAGACGACCGTGATCTCAACTTAGACTACGGCCGCGAATTAGCTTCAGGCGGCGATGATCAGCAGGGGCAGCACGGCTTGCATTGAGCAGAGTAGTTGCCTGAGTACGTGCATAAAAGAGTGGCATCCGCCTGACGAGTGATCTCGCCTTCAAAACTTCATCAACCGCCGATTCTGACACCGTGCGGGCCTAGATCCAGGACTGGAACATGCCCTTGCTGTTTCAAACCGTATGTGCTTTGTGGCAGCACTTGGTCACCGAGCCAGACGAAGAGGGCCGCTGGGGAGCCGCTAAAGGCTGGTTTGAACGGCATGCAACCGATCTCATGTCTAACCACTCGGGCATGCTGGCTCTCTTGTCGTGCCTGTTCCCAGACCGGCGACCGGATCGGGTGTACGGCTTGCGTGAGAAGCGACTGACTGAAATTGCGATCCGAGCCTGGGGACTTGGTGCTGGTCGCGCTAATAAACTGCGAAACTTACAGCCCAGACATGCCGAGCCTGACTTTGCCACCGCGGTGCGAATCATGGTAGAAGAGGGAGGCGAGATAATGCACTCATGCGGTCCGCTAACGGTAGAGGAGGTGAACGAGACACTTGATCACCTGGCGTCCACTTGCTCCTTCTCTTCGCTGGAGATCCGTCTCTTGAAGGCTGGGGAGAATCTTGACGCATCCTCGAACCTCATCAATACCCTTCGACGCATGTGTGGTCTAGAAGCAGAGTGGATGTTCCGGTTGATCCTGGGAGATCTGGGCCGTGCACAAATTCCGGAAGAACCGACAATAAAGCTCGTCCATCCGGAGGTTTGGAGGGCTCTTCGCATCCATGACTCGTTCGGCAGTGTTTTGAAGCTCCTTGACGCTCCCAATTCAAATGATGGATCGAGAAATTCGACTTACCGGCACTCGAATGCGGCCCGACCCCAGGCAGGTGTCTTAATCCGTCGACCCGCCTTTGCAAAAGCACGAAGCATCTAACATTGCGGTCAGCTTCTCGGTCGGCATCGAGTCAGTGTGGAGCGCAAGTATGACGGAGAGTACTGCTAGATCCACGTTCAATTGCTGGATACAGGCGCGACTGAGGTCACCATCTTTTCAAAGAGCGGCCGTGACTCAACGGTCGACCGCGGAGCACTGATTCCCACCGTCATTAGATCTCTTGGCATTGGGTTCCCGAGCTGCAAGGTGAAGCAAAGCTGTGTACTAGTCGGCGAACTGTTGGTGTGGAATGATGCTCAACAAGACATCGTGCCCTTCTACAAGATCCGTCGCTACGTCAGGAGGGCAGGGCGTCGGCTGGGCTGTGCCCGTGATTCACCGCCTCTCCCCGAAGAGCACTTGATGGTTGTCTTCTTTGATATTCTCCTGTTGGACGACACCGATTGCGTATTCGAGTCATATGAGCACCGTCGACAGCGGCTGAGAGATCTGCTACGTCCCATTCCGGGACATGCGGTGTTGGGAGAGCAAGTGATAATTGATTTTCGCAAGAGTGACGCCACAGTTGTTCTCACCCAGCGACTGGCATACGCCATCTCGCGTCACTGGGAGGGACTGGTGCTGAAGCGTTGTGGCGACCCCTATGTGTCACTTAACGAACATCAGCATTGCCAGGTGAAACTGAAGAAGGACTTTATCCCTGGCTTGGGAGACTCTGCTGACTTGGTTGCGGTGGGTGGGGCGCATTGCGGCACGAATGTGACTCGATACGAGTGGTGGACAAAGTTTTACCTTGCATGTGTCGACATGAGGCAGGTGGACAACACTCAACGGCCATCTCCCATCTTTCGGATCGTCGCGACAGTGTCTCAACCTGCCGTCTCCGCTGACGACATGCGCTTCCTCAACCGATATGGAAAGGCACACTACATTGGGCCCGTCGATGAGGCTGTCTCTCCCGAGATCCAGACGGAGCTTACAGACCAACCACCTCCAGCAGCGATCCTTATGCGTCCTCTCGTAGTGGAAGTGGTTGGTGCCGGGTTTGATCGACTGCCAAACTCTCGATTCGAGAGCCTCCGATTCCCGCGTATCGTGAAGATACATCAGGATCGAAGCTTTCATGATGCAATGACGACCGAACAATATTGCCAGATGGCAAAGAGAAGTCGAGACTATGGCGCAGGCATAACAGCGGACAGCTACCAACATTGGCTGGGGAAGCTAAGTGCGCCCAAGCTTCTAAAACCCGCCACTGCTGCCTCCACACCGATTTCTAGTAGTGCCAGTCAGTCACGAAAGCATGCAGGAGGCAGTGAGGATGAGGGTGGTAGCCCTGAGAAGAAAGTATGTATGAAACCTGGGCCGCAGCGGAATGCCAAGAGGGAATACGTGTGATCCGCTTGGCCTGACGCGAGGAAGACTTAAAGCAACCAGGCATGTATGATCATCCTATAAATCTCTGGTAGCGTAGATGCAACGACAACGCCTACAACTGTTTCCAGCAAACGCTTAAGAATAAGGCGATGTTTTTGCTCCATACTAGCTGGATTAGGCCTCAGTCATGTAGTACATCTGGTTACGCCACTATGACTCTTGAGGACGCCGCTGGCAACATACCTAATCCGAAGGAGATGGATGATGCAGCCTCAATACTGTCAGTGACCGAGTCAGTGGTCGCAGCGCAGTCACTCCCGCCCAACACCAAAGCTGCCCTGATCGATTCATTTGCTACCTTACTAACAAGCGAACTACTCACCTACCTTAAAGGTCCGGACGACGACATAAGAACATTGCTTGGAGCAATGCCGACCCTGCTATCGAATTTCTCAGCCGAGTTAAAGGCAGAGACATCTCACAGCGATGTTCTCTTGCAGCGATCAACGGCAGCATTTATGCGCTTAAATCGACCGTAAGTCACCAGAATCTCCGTCCATTCTCAATCTATGAGATGTTCCCGCGACCCTATACACTGACATGTTATTTTAAGCAATATCCTCCGTTCCTTCAAAGATAGCCTTAGCGTCCAAATGGATCATCTGACCGATGCAAGCGCATCAGATGCAATTCGACCGAATCGGGAGGATTTACCGACTGTCAACGAGAAGATTGAATTCCTTTGGACTTCTGACCCTAGCGGAGAGCCCGAGGCTCAAGACATACTTGATGTCGAAAACGAGCTTGGTGGAGAGATACGCGAAGATTTTATCGTTCCGTATCTAGCCGATGCGCGTAGCCTTATCGAAGACAGTAAAGCAATTCGACAGCTGCTCGAGAAAGCCAAGACGGCCCTGAAGCTGACAAGCTCGTCGGACAGTGTCATGGAGAAAGTACGCTCGGAAACCTACAATGCACTCGGACTCACAGGCAGGCACTACTTCTCCCGGGCAAAGATCGAATGCTATATCGCCTGGGACCCAGCTCGGTTTCTGCTGGATCAGTTTGAGATCCCGACAAAGGCGGACCTGTGCAACGTGATCACAATCACTGGCTCCGAGGACGAAGTACAAGCAACAACGTGCTTGGAGTATGTCCGGCAAGTATGGCCTATTGCTGGAGAGGATCTACTACTTGCTGTGCGAGACTACGTGCAAAATCAGTTGCTCAGCCCTTCCGAATCTATTCCGCCACTTTCAGGTAAGTTTCTCTCCGAGCCCTTCCACTGATGGTCGTCCCTGCCTTTCATTCCCGGCATCATACAGAGCAGAGTCTGTACACCCGTGCTTGCTAACACGACCCAGCGGAGCTTTCCAATAGTACGCGAGTCGAGATCTCTCATCATGGAGATTACCTTCGTGTCAAGTGCGATGGACTCATCCATGCTGTTGCAGAAGCGGCCGAAGAGCTTGCTTGGCTCGGGGCTGCCTGTCGTGAAAATTCGGCAACCGAGCAACTTGGGCTGTGTTCTGTCCATACCCTGTCTCTCAATATCCTTGAACCGCATATTGTGATCACTTACAGCCTCAAGAACCTGGAGGAAACAGCGACTCATACAGGTAACGCATGTTGCTGGCACGCACTGTTCCGAAATGCAGTAATTGCGCAGGGATATCCCACAAGACGTCGAAATCAGAATGAGCAGGGTCTTGAAATTTCCTTGCAGCTGATGTTGGAGCTTGGACATGCAGACCATGTGACCATGTACAACAACGGCCTAGTCATTGATGGGATGCAATCGATGTTTGTGCCGGTTGGCAGGTCCGAAGACACGATTCAATGGCACTACTTATATAGTGGGCAGGATGAGTGCATGATGTTCAGTCGAGCCGATGAAGTCTGTTCAAAAAGGTTGCGCAGTGATCGTTTGGACGAGTCCGCACTCGAAGTTGGTCGCCACTTCGTAGGGTGGACGACGCATGCTGAGATTCTGTTCGGTACGTCCCCCTGGAGTCCCAAAGTCGTGTTACATGCTAATGATATGATAACCTAGGAAGCAACAGCACTGCATTCAACAACATAAAGAGCTCGAAGCTCGATCCATGTGGAGCCGGATATGTCTTAGAAAAGGCCTCGATCAGCGGCGGTAAGTTTGTGACTTTCGGGTTCACGGTGGGGAAGGGGAAGAAAGACGAATCTCTGCATATCGACCCCGGGAGCTGCTACAGGAAGATGGTAGGCTGTGCGGCTGGCACAAACGTGATCTTCTACGATGCACGCGACCGCCAAGCATGGCTAACGGACGGCGCAAGCACTCTCCTTCACCTTTCGCGCGCCCAGCTCTCACTTGACATCTTTGAGGGCGTTGACCTACAAAAGTACCGTCCACCGGATCCCTCGGCTGCTAGAAGTGGCTGTCAAAGGGCCTTACTAGACGAGGCCAATCGTATGTTGGAAGTCGACCGAGAGTATCTTGGAACGACCGAAGAACGAACGATCATCAACGGGGCTTGCGAAACAAAGACAGTGGTGAAGCACAGAACGATATGTTTCCAGGACGTGGTCAAAGATAACTGGAGAATTCTTAACCAGATATTCTCGCTCTCCAAGCCACCCACTGGGGTCGAACTGCCAACGTCAATCCGGAAGTATATCGAGGGTTTCGACTTCGCCGACATTGTGCATTCGGCCGAAGAAATGACTCGACGCACAATGCCTCTTGGCGCACACGGACGTGCGTGGCTAGACTTTGCCAGGGCAATCGATGCTATTACCTTGTTCGGGATCGGTTTCGGACAGCTCATCGTTCCTTCTACTGGCAGCAACAGGCTATGTGAACATTGGAATACAGTGCCCAAAGGCCTCGACTATCTCACTACCAGCGTCACTCATCTATTGCAGCTGAGAGAACGATTCGACGGACAAGAGAGACACCATGAACCTATGGAACTATGCAATGGCATCTACTGGCACCGTGGCCACCAGCTCTTTGAGCACTGCAATGGATGCACAACTGCCCAGCCTTGCGACCGGGTACAAGGCCTGCAAACACCAATATTTGGGACTAAGTTCAACCCAGGTTCCATGAAAGATAGCCTGGCCGGCGCCGTGGTCTTCGGAAAGGCTGCGTGCCAGCCTCTCTGGAGCAAAAAGGACGGTTCAAAAGCGGAACTGCTGCCGCCGTCGCAATTGCAAACAGAACAAACTGAAGATGCTATATTAGACAGCGGCATCGGCACCAGTATTGACGGTGGATTATCCCTAATGACCTTGTCGTCCGCAACTCAGGAATCAGCGGGCGGGCTCTCACTCAGTGGCCGGGTCGCGCCCCGAAGCAGCAGAACTCAAGAGCCAGCCTCGGATCCTCAGAATCAGTTAGCCCATCGCCAGATTGGCCAGTCTGAGATTTTCCAACCTGGGTGTGCAGGCGACAGCGGGCTTAAGACCCCATGGAAAAGAAGGTTGAAAAGATATTTTTGGCTACGCTAGGATGGCGATGTCGTTGGTGCCTGGAACTAGATTTTCCCGCATTTCTACCGCTCCTTATTTCATATAGCAACATTGCCCGCGTTCATGACCTACGCCTTGTCTTCATCGTCTCTTAACCTTGTTTCGTCTAGCGCTATGATCATTACCTCCTGCGCTTTTCTTTCCTCCCTTTCTTGACGCAGTGATCGTTTGATCCTCATTTCGGTCGCGGTTCGCAACCCTTGGGCGGAAAGTGACTTTCGGCGGGCTAACGCGCGGCCTCATCCGTTGCACGATATAGACATGGCATCGCTATCCTGGTGACTCCTCGTGCACGACACTGGCAGCGCTCGCCGAAACCAACCTGGAGCTCATACAAGGCTGGCAAGGTCGAAAAGCCGCCGGAGTTGTGCTGTTCGACTGGCTCAAGTTTGTCATCTGATGAAGGGGACTGGGGAGGGCGAAGGCGAGGGAAGAAAATGGCTGAACAGGTTGTCATCGTCATAAACCTCAGAAGTAGGGGCCCGGCTCATGGTATCTCGATTTGGGCGCGGAAGGGCGGACGAGCTGCTCTCGTAATCGACCCAGCTTTCATCGCTCTCGGTACCGGACAAATACGGATCGAACAGTATGGTCGAAGGCGATACGCCGTAGGCAGTGTAGTCGCCGACCATGTCCTGCTGCGGCGAGAGGGCTGCAGGATGAATAGCAGGAGCCCAGTGCTAGTGTCGCTTGTGGCCGCGCGGGGAGAACACCTCTCTCACGTCCAGGCTCGCGTTGTGCAGTATGATGGGTGCGGTGGCTATCCTTCAAGAGCAAGAAGTTACCCACTGGGCTAACGCTTTCATGCTTGAGGTAGAGTTGTGCGCGACATTTGGTGATCAGAACGCGCTTGCCATTGTTCACGATGTTCAATTGAATAGTAATGTTTCAGGCCAACACTGGGGCGAAAGACTTGGGGCCATGCTTACCCGCAAGGGGGACGGCAAATCAACTCAATCAACGACATTGACAGCCTGTTGTATCGTGCGTTGAGTCTAGTGTGAGACAGCACCAAAAGTCGCAGCGGGACGATAGTCCTGACTGTAAAACTTCAGACTATAGAAATTGAGGTTGAAAATTACCAAGCAAGAGGGGAGCCTCTCTAACCCTGAAAACACCATGAGAACTCGTGGGTGAACATGTCAGCCAATCATCCTGCTGCCATGTGTTTCAGATCGTGCGACCGTTGGCAGACCACCTTCTGTATACCTCGCAATACTGTGGGAGGCACTTGTTGCCACCCGTCTGATGAACCAATCACAATACAAACTTCCACCCACTGTTCCTTCACGTGATCTGTATCTCCCATCATTTTGCGAGGTGTTTGTAGAAATGGTCGACATCCGGTCGCATATCCTGAAACACAAACATCCTTGTCGATTTGTCAATGGAATCACCCATAGACTGTTGTGGTGTGTCGGGGTCAGAGAGGGCGCCCTCAAAGGCCAGCTTTTTCTACCGCAGACCTTGATACAGCGCCGAGTGATTATCATCTTCACTATTTTACTGGGCGGGATTGATGTGTTGTGAGATAATCATACAGTAAAATCATTCGCTCTGGCGACCTGACTGGATAACAAAATACTCAACCACAAGGCCACCATCGACGACGCTGTGGCGAATCTATGAACAAAGACCCCCAAATCCATCGATTTCATGCTAAGGACAATTCTACCTATACGGGGCAATTGTCACGATATAGTATACACGATAGTGACAGCGATCTACCTAGACGATACTGCAGGTCTCTTCAAGTGCGACTTGCGACGTTCTTGAATACGAGCATGCATTTCAGAAATGGCGTTCCTCCTTCGGACGAAAGCTTCAGAGGCCTCTGTAAGTTTCCGGCTCCTACCGCTTGGAGTTGTTGCCATATCGATATGTGTCTTCCTCGACTTCCTCGTACGCCGTGAGGAGTGAGTGGACCGATTCAAGAGGCGCACAACATCACCTGCCTGGGGCTCATCTGAGTCCTTGCTTGCGGAGAATTGCTTGCGGGTGGTGTGCTCGCCTCCTCGATCGTCGGACCTTTCAACGGAGCACAACAAAGGCACATTGTTCCAACCCTGCGGCCTGGCTGGGATGACGACTTCAATGGTCGTAGGTCTGGATTTGGCATTTCTGGACAGCTGCCCCGGCAAGCCCACCTGGCGTCGATATCGCTTTTCTTCGGACTCAGGCAATTGAGGCTTTCCGTGCAAAGATGATGACGACTCCGATGGCGATGAAGATGCAAGTCTGTCCGGTGTTGCTGGAGACGTAGCATGTACCGCCAAGGCAGCACCGGCCTCTCCGTGATCGCCATTACTATCACCTTCTTCCGTCAAGACCTGTTCTTCTCGACCTGGACGTGGCGATGCTGGTTCAGAAGATGAGTCATTGATTGATGGCGTGGAACTTTCTTCGGAGGCTGCGCAAGCTGAACTGCGCGAAGATGCCCTGCTACGGCTGAGCTGGGTGCGTCTCGCAGCGTAGCTTGCCTCATTGACCGCAGCACCGGTATGCTTGTTCTTGACTCTTCCAATTGCGCCTTTGGTCGTAGCATCCGGCGGAGGAATGAGATGGATATCAGACCGATGGGCGAGAAATTCGACCATTGACGAGAAGCCCAGCAGATGCGTGCAGCGCGGGTGGGCACACTTGTACTGTCCGGGTCGCAATCCATGGATATGCTCGTCCACGTGAGCTTTCCAAGCGGTGACGTTGAGAAACTGTTTCAACCCTTTGGGCCCTCCACCAGGCGTTCCATTCTTGCCTATGCAGTCCGGACACCATGCCGGCCGTAGAACTGTGCCGCGGAACATGGCCAAGCTACATTTGAGAGGCATATTCTGACTGTGCTGTCTGGTATGCTCTTGCCACGCATCCACATGATCGATCCACAAGAAACACAGAAAGCAGAAGTCAGAATAGCCACCAATATTCTCGGATCTGTGCTTGCGACAGTGGTAGACGTGGCGCCACCACTCCTGGTTCTCAATCTCGGCGCGAGTTGCGCCGCAAGTATCACAACGAGAGGGCGACTTATTGAGCTCGACGCAATACGTGTCGGAGTTCCGAGAGGAGTATATTGCCACCAAATCATTCATCAGCTGAATACCCTCGGCATCTCTCAAGGATCCCGTCTGAAAGAGGCTCTTAGCCAGTCGATCTCGCTCCGGCATCAAACGTCGAGCTTGTTGAAAGTTGGACTCGTAAGCACAGCCGTGCGATGTGCTTGCTTCTTTGATTCCATCTTGTCGGTCGGTGCGAAGCAGGGACTCTCGCTGCTGACGACGATCGCCATAGATCTTTTGGCGCGCCTGCCGATCAACCGTGCCAGTATCGTCCTGAGGTGCTAGTCTAGTGTCGACCATTTGATCTTGCAGCCGCAAGGGTACTTCTGGTCGAAACTGGTAGTCGCGACGAATGGAGAAGCCGCGGAAGAGTTCGTGCAACACGGGCAGTTGTCGATGCTCGAGTCCAAAATACGTTGCCTGTCCATCGACGGTGGAAATGGCATTCTGGTAGTAGCCACCGTATGTGTTGGCATTCCGATGATCCGCATGCCGCATCCGCTCGTTGATGGAATAGCCATGGCCTACAAACGTTAGTGACGGGCCTTCTCGCGACGGCATTTGCTGACTTACGATCCACTTGCAAGAGTGCCTCCCGGCGGATGGCGCCAGGTGTTGGCCGGTCGCGAAAACCCGTTCGCTGTCCGAGAAGTCCGAGAGCCTCAACGAGCGAGGTCGCTGGTTTGGTCTGACCGCTGGACGTTGCGCTGTATCGGGCGAAGACATGTCGGTCCAGCATATCCTCAGTGTATTCCAAGCAGAGGAAATTGCGCTCTGCAGGCTGGGTCACCGCACAGATGTCGGACCAGCTGTCAAAGTTGCGCAGCCCTTGTACAGCCAGGAGCCCCGCCATGTAGAATGCGATGGTGTTGCAGTAGAATGGCAAATTTACCAACTCATAGAGGAGGTGTTCTGGCCTGGGATCGTCAGCAATCTTGCCGTGCATGTACGGTCGAGAAGCACCAACTGTTGGCGAGGTAAGTTGGCGAGTCCTTTGGTGTGATTGCGACACAGGTCAATTACCAGCTGCGGCTGTGAACAGTCCTCCAACCAAACTTGGTGCAGAAGCGTATCCTAAACGGTCAGCACAGTGCACCTCGGCCATTCCAGGGGAGACCACTGACGCGGTATCGCAGGTTCATCACATATTCAGCCGATCGAGCCGACGTCCCGGTGTGCAACAGGATCATCAGATGCAGTCCGACCCAATATGCCTCGCAGCGAAAGTCATACCAGTCATTCTACCACAGCTGCCGAACACAGGCCAGGAAGTCTGTCAGGGTGAAGTTACGCGTGGGCCGACGCGCGGTGCGGAGGTTCAACCAGTTGTTGTCTCCTCCATAACTCAACTATGCCACGGTCAACGACTCATTCGCTAGGCGGGGGACGTCCGATACTGACCGTCTCGATGGTGTTCTGAATGCTCTTGGAGAAGACGTCTCCCGTACGCCGATGCCACGCCGACATGAAGCTCTTCCAGCAGGTGTACATGGAGTCCTGCGTGATACGCGGGATCTTACCCGTATCTGAGGAACAAGCGGGCAAGCGCCCTTTCCTTCCATCCGCGTACCACTTCAGGAACGTCTTCAGCGTTGTCACGTCTAGTGGCGAGGCGTTGCCGTCAAATTCCGACGCGAACCTGGCACACTGGTCAGTGGGCAACTCGGCCAGGCGCTGGTCTCACCACGGACAGATCCCATTCCTGCAACATGCGATCGTACGCTGCACTGGTCAATGGCCGGACGGGCTTCTGGACGAGGTCTGCGGTGGCAGTTGCAGCCCAGATGTGGAAGTTGCGCTCCTCGCGCAGGCGAGCTTGCCGTGCTCGCCGCCTGGCCACCGTCGTCTCTTTCATCTTGACCTCGTGATCTGGAGACTGAACGAGTCCAGTTGCTGAAAGGTCGAAAAAAGCACACGGCAAAATGGGAAAGGTAAGTGTCCAGACTGGAGCAGTGACTGAGAGTATTCTTGGCAGACGCACGCTCGACCAAGCCTAGAAGTATCTGAGGCACCCACAAGGACCCCTGTACACGGTCTGCGGCTGCCATGCAATCACGTCGATTGAGAGATGGCAACCGTGGCCACCGCAGAGTCCGATTCACCACGGCCCCCGTATGGTCACAGGGACTCAGCAGCTGAGCCGGGCACGATGACCACGATCGGTAGTTCCGACCCTCTCCTCGCAATCGCCTGATGGCCCTCCACGACGCCTGAAGACTTTGTCCGCCATGGTTTGACCTGGCAGATCCAGTACTGCGTGACGTTGAGCGAACCGACCATGCTATTCGCAGGAATCCATCGAAGTCGTCGGGTTTCGAGGCACACCTGGCTTGACAGGCCGCTGACACAGTAGTCTGTGGCACGCTCACTGCACAGAACATGTGTGGTCGACAGTAGGTCATGTACCGTACTTTCTTTATGGGCCACTGCTTCATGCTGTCAGCGAGTGAGCCGCAGGAACCCGGCGTTCCTACAGTGCAGAAATGGCCCATAATGGCCACCGCAGCATGATGTCGGACCTTCCCATTTTCGTGGTCTCACTGTAGGGACCCCTCCGCTTCTGTGGTGTTGGCTAAGGACCAGTCCAAATGGGTGGTCTTGATGTCGACTCCTGCCGTTTTCGTGGTCTTACCGCATCGGGACCGGCCACGCCACATCTTCATCAGGCATGAGCATCGACACAGCCATTTCAGGGGTCCCGAACCCTCGCGCCACGGTGGCTGGGTGGTGACCGGGTGGGCGACGGTGGGCGCACAGGGTGCTCCGGGTGTGCCGGGGGTGGGCTAGAGCGGCGCGAGGGTGCGCCCAAGGTGGCGGCCAAGGCTGAAGAATCTGCGCTGTAGTACCTTTACAAAGGGAACCTTTAAGGCTAATTAGGCCCCTATTTATTGTCCGTGACTATAATTCAGAAATTCAAGTGTTCTCTTTTTCTAGTTGATTACTAGATTGTGCTATACTAGCTATTCTATTCCTAATATTATATCATATTTTATATTAATAATATCCAGTGTAATATTTTCTTTATATCCTTGAATTTGAAGTTAGATGTCCTGTAGTTCTCTTTTAACCTATCCTTAGTCTTATTTTATTAGGTTACTATTAGCTATATCTAATTAATAAGGTTATTCTTTATTATACTAGTGGTTTTTTAGTTAGTAGGCCGCCCTTATACCCATATAATTAATATTAGCTCTACTATTAACTATTATCCTTATATAGTTTCCTTAGATATATCTAGTTAAAACTAAATGTTAGTTAGTATTTCTACTAAGTGTATAAAGCTGAGGCTTTATTAGAGGAGAGGTTTGCCTTAACAGCCTCCCCTTCTCTTATTTTTTAGTAGGTAAATGTGCTGATATTCCTGGAACATGTAATCTTTATCTCTATAGAGCCCTCCTTCCTAGAGTATCCCCCTTGCCTAACAGTAGGAGATAGCTAGGTGAGGCACTATAGGGTCAATAGTGTAGTAATGTTTATATAGCTCTATAAAGTCTCTGTAATCTATATTAGCACACAAGAACTTCCTACTCTATATTGTCTTATCAGGTCTTTTATCTTTTACCTTAACCTCCTTGCTTGGTTACTCTAATCTAAGCTATAGTTTTTCAAAATGTTCCTTCTAGGATATAGATATGTTTATCTCCTTAGACACTCTGTCTTCCCTGTGCTTAATATGTATATATAGGTTATCCTTGTTTTTACACTATTTATCCTTATATATTTTCAAGTGAAATACCCTAACATCCCTCTTTAGGCTTGCTTTTAATGTGTATGTAATATATATGTGCTAGGTATCAATTAAATAATCTCCTATACACCTCTTCTTTTCCTATTAATTAGTGACAAGCCTAACTAATCCTGGTGTAATATAAGTGACTATCTATAGTTTAGCTTTAGAGGCTTGGTCTTTATTTAGGGCTTTAGGGAGCTCACTATTATATGTCTAGTCTTCCCAATCTAATTTATTACTTAACTCTTCCTTACTTATTATTTCTTTATCTTAGAAGTATAGTAATATAGTTAGTTGTTGTTTAGCTATTATATATAGGCTTATTAACCCTTGTTCCTCTAGGGAGTATATTAACTGTCCTATTACATTATATATATAAATAGTTAGATATTTAGGACACTTATAGTCAGGGCACACCCTTATTACTATAGGTTATTATGTCTCTATCCTTCCTCCTGTTAGAAAATAGGTAGGGTATTTTTCCCTACCTTATCCTATAGTTAATCCCTACTGTTTAGTAGCTACTATAATATAGAAAGGTCCTGTATTAAGGATCACTAAGGGAGAGTCCCTCTCTTTAGGTTACTTTCCTTTAGGTACCTTTTAGCTTATTATAGAAAGATTGTGTATGGTTTCCTTATCCTCTATATATATATTATAGGGATCCTGCGCACCTTCTTTAGACTCTCCCTATTAGAGGTCTCTTACCTAGTTAGCCAGGTCTTAGTATTAATATTTATTCTTAGTTCCCCTAGGGTACTACCTTAACTCTTTCTTCTCGCTCCTATAAGCCAAGTATTGGTTATACTAATAGGTTATCTATAATTTTCTGGTATAGTAGTTATATTTCTCTGCTAGTTGAATAGCTTTCTTCTAGAAATGGCTGAGTCTCTTAGGTATATCCGCTTCTTTTTCTGGTTTAGCCTTCTCCTTTTCTAGAGGTTGTGTGTAAGAGGCCTCTCTCTCTCTCAGGATCTTAATAAAGCTCTTGTCTTTAGAGGATATATACGCCTATATAAACTCCTTCTTGTACTATTCCTAGTAGGCCTTAGTTCCTACTAATAGTTATTTTAATCCCTCCTGTGCTTGTACCTCTTCTGATTTAGAGAGGTTACCTGCTTTTTTAGTAGTGCTTACACTAGTGTTAGCCTTTTTTCCTAGTATACTGGCTGTTTATTTACTTATTATATACAGTTGTTAGGTTAGGGTCCTATAGTCTTTCACCTGATGTCTGGATTTTCTATAACTGAAGTATAGGTTGTCTTATCTATGTTTCTCCTGTTTATCTCTACCCAGGATCCTACTGTTACTGTGGCCTCTAGGTTGTAAGGACTGTCTAGCTTGTATTATAGAAAGATCTATTAGGTCCCCTTAATTATAAGTACAATTCTTCCTTCCTCTATATCTACTAAATAGAACCTTTCTAGGATATTACTGTTCTATCTGGAGCTTGTAGAGTTAGTTATCTACCTTAATAGCCTTGTCTATCACTTTAATCAAAGTTATAGGTAGTGACACAGCTATTTTAGCTTTAACCTCTATCTTCAATCCCTGGTAGAACATATCCTGTAAAGCTTTATCTTTATCCTAGTCTAGGTGTAAGGCTACTTACTGGAATATAGAATAGTAGATAGATATAGATCTAGTTTACCTAAGCTAATATATCTCTCTAGCAGTAGTTCTTTCTTTATTAGCTGTACTGAAGATTACCTTTATTTCTCTCTTAAATTCCTTAAAAGAGTTAATAAGCCTCTTGGTCTTTTCTTTAGCCCTATTTATATTCTTATAGTGGTTGTTAAGAAAGGGTTTAAACCAGGTAAAAGCTGCTCCTTTAAGATAGGCTGTAGTATAGATAACCTTCAGTTAGTTGCTGGTAAACTATCCTTGGTTAAGGTTAAAGGCTATATAGAGTTGGATCAAGTAAGCTTAGAGCTGAGAGCGTTACCTGGTAAAGGGTTCCACCCTGGCCTTAAGCTTACTATCTCCTTCTGACTAGACTAAGGTACTAAGACTAGGAGTAGCCTTAGTAGTACTATCTCTCTTTCCTAAGATAGATCTAGATAGGGATAGGGATTAAATACTAGATATAATTAATACTATCCATTACAGGGTAGTCAAAGTGTTATAAACTACTCTAAATATTAGGTCCAAACTGGGTTTAGTAGCTAGGTAAATAGTATCAGGGTTAAGGCTAGGCTAAAGTAAATATAGGAACT